AAAACCCTAGAAATTGAAAAAGAAGCAAGAAAAGCTACATCCTGTACTGTGCCCCTCAAACGCACAGGGACTTTCCTTCCAGGGTCAGAACAGTCATGAATGGGCCCAAGGCAATGTTTACTCACTGGCCAGTGGCAAGATACTTGCCCGGATAAATCAGGCTGAGACTCCGTGATATACACACTAAACCGCTTCTTGGCTGCCACGGCTTCTTCTAGGACCCTCAGGACGACTCTGGAGTAGGCGTGAGTCAAAATTCTCTATGGAACAAGAAACCTCATCAGAGGGCAAGCTGCCAGTCAGCCACTGCCAGTGCTGCCCGCGCTGCTATGTCACGGGCTTACAATTAGTACTGTGTGCTGCACATCAACCACAATCAGAAGAGTGACTCTGACAGCCCACGGAAGTTCAACACTTCTGCCCGAGGGGTAAGGCAGAGATCCCCCCCAGTGGAACCCAAATGTACAGAAGATGTCACAGGTTGGCTCCCTGCCAATAGGCTAGAGCTTGCATACTTGGGCTTACAGGGCCTGATGAGACCCTGGCAGCACAAGGCCAGGGGAAACCAGGCCCTAGGGCCCCTCTGTCACATTATCCCACTGTTGCAGAGCCACCTGAGTTTTCTAGAAGAGGTAAAAATCTAATAAATATCTAACTGTATACAAGTTAAGCTAAGACACTTCATTTCCAAAACTGACAAGCACTATGGGGTTAATACAGCTGTCTGACAGATAATTGTGGACTCACACACAGACTATGCTCTAGGATGCAGAGGACCACACAAGGCATGGTGGTGGACATGACTCATCAGAATTACAGGTTCTCAGGCCACATCTTGAACCTGAGGAGTCTTCATTTAACAAGCCTGAGGGTGATCTGCCCGCAGGTTCAAGATTCAGCAGCTCAGATTTTTTTTGTTTTGTTTTGTTTTTGTTTTTGAGACAGGGTTTCTCTGAAGCTTTGGAGCCTGTCCTGGAACTAGCTCTTGTAGACTCACAGAGATCTGCCTGCCTCTGCCTCTGCCTCTGCTGGGATTAAAGGCGTGTGCCACCATCGCCCGGCAGCAGCTCAGATTTTAGTCCAGCTCTTAACCCCGGGTAAGAGCTGTGGGTGGCTGGAGAGATGGCTCAGAGGTTAAGAGCACTGACTGCTCTTCCAAAGGTCCTGAGTTCAATACCCAGCAACCACATGGTGGCTCACAACCATCTGTAATGATGTCTGGTGCCCTCTTCTGGCCTGCAGGCACACATGCAGGCAGAATATTGTATATATAATATTAAAAAAAAAAGAGCTGTGGGTGGAAACACACCACAGCTTACACACTGTGCCTCCACTTGGCCTAGGTGTGTCTGACACTGCCATTAACACAGCTCCTCCCAGTAAATCACAAATACTTAATAGCATACTTCAAAGCTAAGAAATGCAGTAAAGCCGTTGATGCAAGTTGAGGCTGAGTGGTGGGGGCTGTGCTGGAGACTGGCTCTACCTGCCATTCCTCACTTGAGGAGCAGCTCCACCCAGGACTGATGGTGGCTCAAATACGTGGCAGTGACCATGGGAACAGCTGGTCTGGACAGACTCATTCAGGTTAGAGATCTAACTACACACCTAAAATCGTAAAAACACTTCTTCAGAGTAGGTAGAGTGGCTCAGTGTCACTAAGCCTTACACCCTCAGATCCCCATCCTCACTGTGGCACCTCTGCACACTCACACAAACACATAATTAAGAAACAAATGTAATTAAAAAATCGCTTGCTAAGAGGCTATGGGTGTAGTTCAGTGGTAGAGCATGTCTAGCATGTTTGAGGTCCTTACTTTCATCTCCAGATCCAATTTTAAAAAAAGGTTAAGATCAAGACTCACTTATGTTGGTCCCATGTTCTCCCAGTTCATGACGGTGAGCCTCTATAGGATCTGTGATTGCAGAGCACTGGCTACAGGCGGCATCTCATTTATGCCCCACCCACCCAGCCAGTCAGCTGCTGCTGTCCTTATTAACAGACTAGAACTGCAAGACAGAGAAGTGACTTGTCCCTGGGCCCAGCAGTAGGTGGCGGAGTCAGGACTTCAGGCCCAGTAGCCTGACTCCAAAGCTCTTGATTCTAGTGGCACAGGGGAGCCGTGTACTCACCGCCCCGTCTTTGATGAAAGTATGGCACAGATCCGCAATTTTATTTCTCGACAGGGATATTCTCCTGAGGAAAAGCTCTCCTCTCTCAATCATGATCTTCTTACATTTGGAGTAATCCTGGGGAGAAGAGCAAAATGAAGGGAGACCGCAGGGATGCTGACAGTCTCTGCAGGCCAACAGAGAGGTAGAAGAGGTACCCAAGGGAGGGCGGGGCTTACAGAGTACTCCAGGGAGGTGAGGCTGATGAAGCGAAGGAAGAGCTCTCCACCAGAGGACACGGCCACGGACGAGTCCACGCCACACAGGGTTTCTATAGCACTGGTGAGGTTCGCCCTCAGGCCCTGCAGTGTCTCCCCTGCAATGACGATGTCAGAAATGTGATGTTCATTTAGGGTGATGGCCCTTGCAGGCCTGCACTTCATCCACTCTTACAAAGAACACTGGCTGCATCTCTGTGTCAGCCACTGGGAGATGCTGCATGAGAGGGCTCTGTTCTCATGGACAATAAACAACAGACAAGTGACAAACTGTCATGAGGGCAGGAGACGGTAGGACGATGAACAAGAGCGAGCTACTGAAAAGGGCTCTTGCATTACAGGCCATTTAAACGGAGACTTGGATAGGAAAGGACCCAGTGAGGACAGCTACTGTGTAGACAGCATCAGTGAAACAAAGGCCCAAGGTAGGAACACACTTGGTATAAAGAGCAAAGAAGGCCAATCAGATGACTCTGAGCCAAAGCACTGTGCGCTCAAGCCTGGTGAGCGGAGTGCCAAAGACCCAACTCCTGAAAGCTGTCCACTAAGCACACGGCTCACCGTGGCATATGCATACCACACTCACGCACATGCTAATAATAAGATAGAAATTAAAAATCCAAGAAGTCAGCAGGGCCGCGCTGATGTCTTTGCAGTAAGCGACAGTGTGGCAGGTAGCAGTGGTGACAGCTGGTGAGAGACAGTGTGGGTCCACAGTCTGACTGTATGTACACTGGGAAGACACTTGAGGCTGTGTTAGGGAAATTTTCCTCTTGGCCACCCCATGAGAATAAAAAAAGCATCATTATTATTTGTGTGTAAAAGAGGTCATATTATGCCAAAATCTTAAGGTTACAATTTTTGTTTAGTAGATCCCAATAAATATTGATATCAAAGGTGTGCACTACCAGAGTATTTTGGTTTTTTGGGAGACGTGGTTTCTTGGTGTAGCCCTGGCTGTCCTGAAATCCACTCTGGCCTTGAACCCAGAGATCTGCCTACCTCTGCTTTCCACGTGCTAGGATCAAAGGTGTGTGCCACTACACCTAGCAATATTTATTCTGGAACATTGTCTATAGCATCTGCACAGAATCTAGGACAAGCTAGGAGCTTGGAACTCATCTATAAAGCTAAATTATTGCTTTAATTTAAGCCTTTTGGCTTGATTCCCAGCATATTTTGTAGGTAGCTAGGTATCCTTTAGGTGACAGCCTGAGGGCTCCCTCTAGGCCAAAAGGATGGACGCAGAGACAGAAGCTGAGCTTGACACTGTAGGCAGACCTGCAGGGCTCCCTGTCCCTGTCTGCACTCCTAGAAGTGATCTGAGGCCCAGGCTGTCAAGGTTGACTCTTTGTACCTTTGTCTCTCTTCAAGAACTCCAGCAAGGTCTGGATGGCAGCCACTGCTGAGGCCATGTTAGGATCGCCTTTCATCTGAGACTTAAAGTATTCAATTAACTCTAGGAAGAGAGGGAAAAAAGTGAGTCATCACATAAACTTAGCAAGATGAGGCTAGAGCGCTTGGTAACAACCGCTGCCCTTGAATAAGAAGCAAAAACATTAAAAACATTAAAAAAAAAGAGCAACTTTTAAAGTTACAGGGAACAAGTGTTGATTGGGATAGAAGATACTTTCATACTATTGGCAGGGACACCTCTTTCATATTGTTTTTCTTTCTTTCTTTTTAGTTTTTTTGAGACAGGGTTTCCTCTATAGCTTTTGGAGCCTGTCCTGGAACTCGCTAGGCACTAGGCAGGCCAAGCTGGCCTTGAACTCGCACAGACCCGCCTGACTCTGCCTCCAGAGCGCTGGAAAAGCTATTGGTGTGCCAGACAGAGACTTTAGAGGCCAAGCCCAGGGATTAGTAGACTAGGGAGTCCTCTCATCCACTTTATTAATCTCTCCTGCAGCCTTCTGAGCGATCTACAGTCAAGTCTACTCGTGTACCCAAATACAAATGTGAAAACACATACAGTTCTACCTAGCTCATTTCTCATTAAGATCGGTATATTAGTTTGTTTTTCACTTAACAGAAACATCCTGGTAACCATGATGGACAAGCAAACTAACGATGCCTTACTCCTTCAAGTAGAGACAACGTGTCTTCTGACTGCACAAAGAGGACACCCAGACATGGAAGTTTGCACATTGACTCTGAGAGCCAGTTTTTGTTTGTTTGTTTTTTGAGACACGATCTCTGTCTGACAGTCCTAGCTGTCCTGAACTGGCTCTGTAGACCAGAATGGTCTCGAACTCAGAGAGATCCGCCTGCCTCTGTCTCCCGAGTGCTGGGATTAAAGGCGTGCATCACCACCGCCCGGCAAGAGAGCCAGTTTTTTGGAAGAGGCCCCTCGGACAGCGTGTGCAGAAGCCAGTTTGCCCGGGTCCGAGGGGCCCAGACCACGGCACAAAAGGAGTGACAGCAGGAAGCGACTCGAGTCCGGACTGCCCGTGTTCCCGCCGCTCGGGTCACCCACTCACCATGGTTCTCCATCGCTTCTCCGCGACCCTCACAATCGCGACGGCAGCAAGCCACAGGCTGACAGCGTGTCGCACCCTTCAAGCATCACTTCCGTCGCCTCGAGGTTGAGGTGACGTCGTTTGTCAGCGCCGGAAGTGGCTTGCGCACGTCGAACCGTGGGCGACTCTTCACCGAGGCGTAGGGGCGCCATGGCCACAGACGGTGAGGGTGGCACGGGCCGGACGCGGAGCCGGGCTGGGAGGGGCACGTTTGATTGTTAGACGAGCATCCAGTGTAGTCGTTCGTTCACTCAGCAGTTTCATCAATGAGACAGGGTCTCACATAGAACTCGTGATGTCAAAGATGGTTTTGAACTCGATCCTCCAGTCTCTAGCGTGCTGGAAATTACAGGCGTGCCCGTGGTACTCAGATCTTTGTGCTTTCTCAGTAGGCTTTCTACCAGTTGAGTCCATCCCCAGCACTAGTTATTTTTACGTAGGCGCTCTCTCCTGCCTTAGCCTTCCGAGTTCTGGGGTTACAGGCCTGCATTAGCACGCCAGTGTGTCATTCGGTAAATACTGGTATTGCCCCAGTGTACTGAACGTTATTCTCTAAACTGGAGAGTACAGCACAGAATCAACACAGGGAAGCTTGAGTGTGTGGTGTCATTCAGTCGAGAGGGGCAGTTGACAAGTGAAATCATTCCAAGAGGTGACAATTTGTGAAGACAAATGTGTGACTACTAAGTTCAAGAGGGCTGTCTTTCGTTAGTCCAGGAGAGATCCAGATGTTAGAACTGGATTGAGCAACACTAAAGTTCACTTTAAGTACAAACGCCCTGGGAGGTTAAACTTAGAAGAGTAAAACGGGCAGTGGGCGGATAGAGGAAGGTGAGAGAGGGGCTCTTCTTCATGTACTAACCTGCTAGTTAGAGCTTTTAGATTACATTTCCTCCCAAAGATTCTTGCGTTTATTTATTGATTGATTGATTGATTGATTGATGTGTGCTTGCTTGCTTGTGGCAAACTTGTGGGAATCGGTTCTTTTATTGATGGTTTAGGTTTCTGGGATTGAACTCAGGTCATTAGGCTTGTGAGCCTTTACCAGCTGAGCCCTCTCACTGGCCCCGAGTTATTTAGATTGACAACATTAGAAGCATCACTTTGGCTACTGTATGAGAAATGGATTATGGGGAGCGAGAGTAATTAGGGAAGTGCACTCAGTAGTCTTAGCCATGATTCACGCCTCTGTGAGAAAGGCGGACCTGCCACAGCTTGTCAGCCAGCGAGGCAGAGGCTGAAGAAAACTGGCAGAGACGTTTCATGCACACAATTCTGACAGGCAGCACAATGTTTTCCTTCTCAGTCTTCTTGGTACTATCAAGGAAGGGAGCCTAAGCAGGATTTGGTTCTGCAGAAACCAGAGGTGGGGGATGGTCCTAGTGAAGGAGCCAGGCTGCGAGAAGGAAGGTAGGAGGCAGTAAGTTGGGCACACACTCGCCATGTTTTTATGTGCGCATCTGGGCTTTTCGTGACAGCAGGCACTGGCAGGATTGCTTTGTCCCTTCGAACTGCAGGCTCTTGGCTGGGTGTGGTGCCAGATGTCTGTAATCCCAGATACTCAAGAGGTAGGAGGTTACCAAATTCAAGACCAGCCTGGGCAATTTTTTCAGATCCCGTTTTAAAAGGTCATGGTTCCTAGGGAAGTGACTCTGGTTAAGAGCACTAGCAGGGGACCAGCAGCCACATAGCGGCAGAAACATTCAGGGGGTATGGTGCTGTCTACCAACCTCTGAGGGCACTGCATAAATGTGGTACACATACATAGCTGCAGTCAAAGCACTCATTCATATAGAATGAATTTAATTGTTTTTTAAGTAAGAAAGTGCTGGGGCTGTAGTTTGGTGACAGAGCCCTTTCTTATCATGTAGAAGTTCCTATGTTCATCCCCAGGACCAGACTAAATTAGGTGTGGGTTCTTTGAGGACTCGGAGCCAGGACCTCCATCACTAGTCATAGTTATTACTGTGTTACCTTGGCCTGATTTGTTGTGTCTGTCAGTGTGAATAGTGGCCTAATTCCTTTACATGGCAAAACTTTGTTCACAGCCAGGCAGTAGAGGTGCACACTTTTCATCCCCAGCATTTGGGAGTCAGAGGCAGGCAGATCTCTGTGAGTTCGAGGCCATCCTGGTCTACAAGAGCTATTTCCATGACAGCTAACAAACAAACAAAAAAATGTTCACATAAGAATTATTTTCCCCTTTTTGGCTCTTTTAAAAAGTTGATTCCTGGTCTGGGAATGTAGCAATATCGTAGAGTCCTTGCCTGACATTCACAGAGCCCTGGTTTGGTCCCCTGCACTATTTACCACCAGATAATGCTGGTACAAGCTAGTACTTGGGAGGAAGAGGAGGATCAGAAGTTTGATGTCATCCTTAGCTACACAAGGCGTTTGAGGCCAGCCTGTGCTATATAAATAAAAACTAACTAAATAAAATAAAGATTCCTAATCCCAACTGGCTTGGCTGTTCTGTGATGGCTCATCCTGGCTGCTTATGGGCCAGCCCCGTGGCTCATGGGTCCCTAATCTGCTTGAAATCTTATGGAGATTCTGTTGCTCATTCAGTAAGCCCAAGACCAGGCTTTGAAAATATGGATACCTTTGGGTTAAGTCAATATACTTTTGTTGAGTGTCTACCACATGCCAGGAGCAGAGGGTTAGCATGCCCCACCCACAGCCAAGCGCTCAGTGTTGCGGGGGAGGTGAGCGCTAAACAGGTCTGCCCAGCTCCTCAGCCCTGGTCGGCCTGGACCTGGTTTTGAACTCGGGGAGATCCATCTGCCTCTGCCAAGTGTTGGGATTCCCCAGCATTTAAAATTAAATTTTTTTCTTAACATTTTGTGTGTGTGTGTGTGTGTGTGTGTGTGTTAGTGGGCAGCTTTGTTAAGTCAGGTCTCACCTAACCATGTGCATCCCAGGAATTGAACTCAGGTCATTTGGCATGGCTGGAGGCCTTTACCTCGTAAGCCATCTCTGACCCTTATTTTATAAAATGAGATACTGGCTCTCAAACCAAGGGCTCCCTAATACCAGACAAGCATTCTAATCATTTAGCTGTGTCTTCAGCCCTTAATTTTTAAGGAAACTTGGCTCTTTCGGTGAGCTCATGATCCGTCAGAGGATGATAGCCACATGAGGCCCTCTAGCTATTAAATGACCATCGGGAATGTTGTCTGTATTTCAGTTTCATGAGGCTGACATTTTGAAATGTTGCTCTTGTTCCTGTTTGCAGAAGATGAGTTGAATCTTCTGGTTATCATAGTTGACACCAACCCGATTTGGTGGGGAAAGCAAGCATTAAAGGGATCTCAGGTAAGATGGCTTGAGCCTTCCCACGATTCTCCTTAATTTCAGTTTGTGTGTGTGCCACCCACTACCCTGCAAGCAGTTTGAGTCCTTACAAGCCAGGTGTGGTGGCCCTCATCCAATCCTAGCACTTAGGTGGAGGTAGGCAGATCACAGGAGGTCAAGCACATCTTTGGCCAGTCCAGGCATCTAGAGACACTGTCGGAAAAGGAGAACTGTGAGCGGAAAACCGCCAATTATACTGTACAGACCAGGGAGTTCTTAGAGCAGGGAAGATGTATAATTGGCCCCACCGTCCCCTCCTGGAATGCACATGAAGTCCTCAAGCCTGTTGACCTGTTGACAGTCACCCTCTTCCGGTCTACATATGCAGGCAGCTGATTGCCTCCTGTCTATTTTGCTTTTCTAAACAGTCCATATATCTCTTGTATGAGGAGGCATCTTCTGTTAATAATCTACTTGGGGAGGAGGGTATGGTGTGCCGCAGCACATATATGGAGGTCAGTGAACAACTTTAGGGGGCCTGTTTTTTGCTTCAGTCATGTGCGCTCTGGGGATTGAGCTCAGCTCATCAGCCTGGTTTAAAGCATCTTTAACTTTGAGCTATCTCACTAGACCTCGTCTTTGGAGTTTTGAGATAGGTAGGGTCATCCTTTTATGTTTTTACGTTTACTTTTTGTTTGTGTATGTGTGTGGATGCTTGTGATTAGTTTGCTCCTTTCTCCAAGTGCTTCCCAGGCATCAAAGTTCCTGTATTTGCTGAGCCAACTAATTGATCCAAGTTTTAAATTTTGATGAAACACAGTTTATTTTTAAAACAAAACAAAACAAACGGGATTATACTTTTTTAAAAAATTTTTTTCAGTATAGGAATTCGGGTATCCCAGGCTGACCTTGAACATGCTGTACAGCCTGAGGATGACCTTGAACTTCTGGTTCAGCTACCTCTGTCTCGTAAATTCAAGACTTCCAAGTTTACATTTGTGGCCCCACCATGCCAGTATTTGAGAAGTAATGTTCTCATATATAAACGATTCTGTCAGTAAAGTCAGGAAGGCTTCCTCTCAGATGCTGTGCTTCCGATTTTAGGAGCGGCGAAGCTGAGCAGATTTTTAGTGTTGAATCATTGTGTCAGATGTCGGTGACTGTCCATAGTGGCACATGTCATGACGGGGAGGTAGAGGCAGGTGAATTGTTGGACATTTGTTGCCCAGGGCATGACCCTTTCTTAAACACATCAGTAATAGTATAAGTAAAGCTAAGTAATAAACAATCGACTTTTCAATGCCATCTTCATCAGGAGCTAACTTGTTTTTCTTGCGTTTGTCAGTTTACTTTGTCCAAGTGCATGGATGCTGTGATGGTGCTGGCGAATTCCCACCTCTTCATGAACCGCTCCAACCAGCTGGCTGTGATAGCCAGTCACATCCAGGAAAGGTAGGAGCCAGCGCTCTGCTGGAGGCTGCTTTCTAGTCCTTGACAGTTTCATACACGTGTGTAGTACATGCTGATTACTCTACCCTGTCAGCCGATTCTTATACCCGGGGAAGAATGGCAGACTTGGAGACTTCTTCGGAGACCCTGGCAACCCGCTTCCTGACTGTAATCCCTCTGGGAGTAAAGACGGGAAATACGAATTGTTGACAGCCGCAAATGAGGTGATCGCCGAGGAGATCAAAGATCTGATGACCAAAAGTAAGAGCCTGGCTATAGTCACTGTTAGTCACTGTTACCTTCCTGTATTGAGACTGTTGTATGCTTTTAAAATGTAAGGTTTTTATTGATTCTTTGAGGATTTCATGCATACCATGTATTTTGGTGATATTTACCAACCCCATTCTTCCTAACTCTTCCTATCTCCTCACCCCCTCCCAACCTTCTCTCTCTCTCTCTCTCTCTCTGTAATAATCTGGCCAGGGTTGCAAATGCCTTTGATTTCAGCACTCAAGAGACAGAGGCAGACAGATCTCCTGTGAGTTCTAAGCTACCCTGGTCTACTTAACCAGTTCCAGGAGAGTGTTTGTCTCAAAAACAAAAAACAAAACAAAACAAAACACCCTCTTGTGTTGTCCATATACTCATGGTATGGGCCATTTCCTGGGGTATGATTGCTCTGTCAGGGACCACACACTTGAAAAAAGCCAACCTTGCCACACCGGGCCATCAGTTGTTAATGGCTCCCCAGCCAGGGGAGGCTCATGTGTCCGTTTGTCTTAGTTATGTTTCTAGTGCTGTTAAAAAGCACTATGACCAGGGCAACTTACAAAGCATTTAATTTGGGATTCATGGTTCCAAAGGGTAGTAGAACATTCGTGGTAGGGAGCGTGGCAGCAGGCAGACAGGCTTGGTGCTGAGCAGTAGCTGAGAATTTACATCTAATCCAAAAGCACAGAGTAGGGGAAGAGCTAACTGGAAATGGCATGAATTTTTGAAACCTCAAAGGCCACCTCCAGGGACAAATCTCCAACAAGACCACACCTCCTAATCCTTCCCAAACAGTTCCTCCAACTGGGGCCCAAGAATTCACATGTATGAGCCTGTGGCAGCCATTTTCATTCAAACCGCCGCAGCCTCCAGTGTTGTCATCTTAAAAGTCAATAGTGCCTTTCCCAGCTCAGGGCTCTAGTGTCCCTGCAGCCTGCCATGGCTTTCAGCCTTTGGTCTGCAGCGGTCCTTAGAGGAAAAAGGAACTCTAGAGATGAGAAGGGGTTGACAGTGACCCAGGGCTGGGACAGACATGTAGGCCCATGGTCTCAGATGATAGAAACGGCTCTCCAGTCAGAGCATGTGATGGGCACTTGGCTGTAAACTTTATAAGCATTAACTGAGTTCTGGAGCTGGAGAGATGCCTGGAGGTTAGCAGCACTTGCTGCTATTGGAGAGGACCCAGGTTTGGTTCACAGCACCCATGTATAGAGGCTCAGTGCCCCCTCTAACTCCAGCTCCAGGGTAGCCAATAACCTCTGGGCCTCCTGCAGGCATCATGTACACATCCACATACACACACAAATTTTTTTTAAAAATTGAGTTTCTAAATAAATTTTTTTGAGACAAAATCTTCCTGTGTCTCCCTGTCTGGCTTGGAGCTTGCTGTGTAGACCAGACTAGCCTCAGACTCACAGAGATCTGCCTGCCTCCACCTCTAGCACGGTGGGATTAAAGGTGTAGGCTACCACACTTGGCTCCCTCTTAACCAGTTCTGAGTGTGTAGCTGAGTAGTGCTAGGTGGTACACACTGTTTCAAGGCCGTCCTACTGCCCGTCTCAAGAACCTTATCCTAAATAAAGTTCCATGTCCTTTATTTTAGTTTTTTTATTTCTTATATTGGTTTATTTTACTTTATGTGTATGGATGTTTTGCCAGCATGTGTGTCTATGCACCATGTGTGTGCCTGGTTTTTGTGGAGGCCAGAAGAGGGTATTAGATCCCTCTTCCAGATCTGGTGTTATAGATGATTGTGAGCCCTCACTTGGATTCTGGGCTTTGAACCCGGGTCTTCTGGAATAGCAGCCAGAGCTCTTAAGAACCCAGTCACCTTTCCAGTCCCTCTCCAGCCTCTAAATACCAACTCCCATCTCTTCCTCTCCTTCCCCTAAATAAACACCTAGACACTTTGAAGAGAGGCGTGAAGTGGCTTACTTGGGTTTACTGATTACTAGTCTCCGTGTTTTGAAATCCACTTTGAACACGTCATCTTGTGATTCATTCATGAATACTTGAATTTCAAAAAGACTTAGAATTTCCCTGTTTTGTACTCTTTTACATTTGCAGGTGACATAAAGGGCCAGCACACAGAGACACTGCTAGCAGGATCCCTCGCCAAAGCCCTTTGCTGTATCCTTGTGCTAGCGTGTTCCAAAGCAGTCTTTTGTAGCGAGGGTGTTTAACTGGTGGCTTCTCCAAGACCTTGTTCTATAACACTCATGTGCAGTAGCTCCTTTGGCCCTTCAGGATGTTTCCATGACCATCTGTAAAGCCTGGTGCTACTTGTGAGCGAGGTATTGCTTTGTTTCTTTTGTTTTGTTTATCTTGTTTTAAGAATGAGTGTTTTGCCTCAGTTTATCTCTGTGTACAGTGTGGGCATCTGGAACCTGTAGAAGTCAAAAGAAGGCATTAAATCCCCTAGAACTGGAGTCACAGGTGGTTGAACCACCATGTAGATGCTAGGCACCGAGGCTGGGTTCTCTGCAAGAGCAACCGGTGTTGTGCCCTGCTGAGCCATTTCTCCAGCTTCTTGCTTCTTACTCTGATAATCTAATACTTGCTTTGATCTTATTCCTTGAATTGCCATCTCCGGTACTGATTTTAAAAGTTGTTTACCAATCTCACGATTTAATTAGTGAGTGGCACTCTGTAGGAGAGCAGGTGACCTGGCCCGAAGCACAGGGCAGCCAGACTCTTCCTGATTTCATGTGTTGTGGGCTCTCAGCCTTGCTTTTGTGAAGTGTCTTTGAACAGTATTGAGTGCTGGTTACATCCTGGAGTTTTTATCCAGTTGTCCCGATCCTCTTTATGGCTTTTAAATTCATCATCTCACTGGATGAACCGACTGGTTTGGGTGTGGCCCCCATATTGGTATCAAGGATGGTGGATAGTCAGCTGTCTGTCCTGTGGGCTTCACGTGCAGAGATCATGTTTCCCTTGCTGAGTTCAGAACTGGGTAGTGAACCCAAGCCCACCCCTATGGCTGTCATGGCAGAAGATGGGAGGGGCTGGTTTAAAGTCTCCCCTTTAAAAAAAACAGTTTGAAGGTCTGTTTTCCTGTTAGTGTGGATGTTTATGAAGCAGCATGTTTATATTCCTTAATGTTAGCGAATCCAGACATTCACAGAGTGAACAAGGCAGTTAAAGGTAGGAGCTGATTGTTTTGCAACTATCGCCCTTTGATTTTAGTGCTGCATGCTTGGTGGGGTATTTAAGAATTGCTGAACACTCAGAGGCAGGCAAATCTCTGTGAGTTCAAGGTCAGCCTGGTCTACATAATAAGTTCCAGGCCAGTCAGAGCTGTAGAGTGAAATCCTTTCTCAAAATAATATAAAATAAAAATTGCTTAGAAAACCACATACTTTTTAAACTATCTTGTTTGTTAAATTATCTGTTTTTGTCTCTTTATAGATAATCAGGAGATGAAATCAAGGATATTGGTAAGATTATACACAATTTGCATATAACTGCAGACAGGTGGAAACCATGAGAGTGAGTCCACTGATGTCATCACAGGCATTTAAATCCAGCACTGGGGGAGGGAGACACAGGCTGATCTCTGTGAGCTGAAGGACAATGTGATCTACATAGCAAGTTCCAGGCCAGCCAGGGCTGCATAGTAAGACCCTGTCTCACAAAGACATCTGGAAATTGTTACTTTTATAGAAAATTAATATTTCTAAAATCAAGAGCTCTTGGGCCAGTCAGATGGCTCTGTCAGTAAAGATACCTGGTGCCTAGCCTGATGACTTCCGTTCCCAGGGTCCACATGTATGGAGAGAACTAACTCTCAGTGCTGTCCCCTGGCCTCCCAGTGCATGCTGGATATGCTGGACAGATGCCCATCAGTCTATAATTACCAGGGAGGATCTGGTGTCACCTTACACTTCAGGGGTTTACTACTGAGTAGGAAGATAGACTGGAGAAGTGGCCCGTCTGTCACTTGCAGCAGGGTATGTCACAGTGAGTCCTGGAGGCGCTTGAGCTCTAACGGCTGTGTTTGCAGGTGATCAAGGCTGCAGAGGACAGTGCGCTGCAGTACATGAACTTCATGAACGTCATCTTTGCTGCTCAGAAGCAGGTGAGGCATTCTGAGAGAAATCATCGGAGGCTGAGTGTGGTGGTGCATACCTTTTTGAGTTGGAGTCCAGGCTGATCCATATAGAGAGTTCTAGGACATCCCCAGGCTAAATAAAACAAAACAATCCAAAAATGTAATCACTGTCATTCAGTGGGGTTCTGGCTAAAGAGCCTGTTGTGGATTGGGGATTCAGAATCCACACAGGGTACCTGTCATCCTGGGTCCTTGCAACTGGGTGGTGTTCTCAGAACACTCCAGCTTGGTTTTGCACTGGGTGTCATGCTGCTCATCCCGTTAGCCCACATGCGGCTAAGACTCCCAGGTTGACAGTTTGATACAGGAACCCTCAACTTTTCCATGTTTTTTTCTTTCTTTTTTATTTTTCTAATTTTTGGCAGTGTCATTTAACCTAAGTCTTCCACATGTGTGGTGAGCTCTACATGACCTGAGTGTCCCCAGGAGCTTCTTGTTTTGTGTTGAGACAGACAGGCTCTTGCTACCTTGCCCAGGCTGGTGTCAGCTCCCTGCAGTCCACACAGGCCTGGAACTTGAGAAGCCCCTGTGTCAGTCTGCTGGGCAACTGGCTATCGGTGTGCGCCATTCGCCTCCCAGTTTCTCTTTTGATTTGCTAGTGTGGCGTGTGCTGTGCAGATAACTGGGATGGTCGGATAACCTAATGCATCATCTTCGTTCTCTGGTGTTTTGTTTTTGTTTTTTAATGTGTCCAAGTGTTCTGCCTGCAGACATATACATGTAACATGTGCACTTCTGGTGCCCGTAGAAGTAGAGAGGGTGGTAGAGCCGGTGGAACTAGAGCTACAGATGGTTGTGAGATACGATGTGGGTGCTGGAAACTGAATCAGGGTCCTCTGGAAGAGCAGCCAGTGCTCTTGACCACTGCACCATCTCTCCATTCCCCTCTAAGCCTCAGTTTGAACATGCAGCACCACTAGAGCCCAGTATTACCTTCAGCATGGAGCATGTTGCGGTGAAAAGGGGTCAGGCTTTGGAGGCAGGCGTTGGGACCTGGACTGGATGTTTCAGATGCCAGTGTCCACTCTGCAGCATCACTGTACATGTTGAAGGGCCCGTTTTAGGGATAGAGTCTGACTGGACAAAATGGGGCACATTTGTACCAATACTAGGGAGGCGGAGGCAGGAGGATTAGTACAAATTCTATGCCAGTCTAGACTATAGAGAACCTGTCAAAAAAAAAAAAAAAGGACAAAAGAGAATAGAGTCTAGACGTCTGAGACAGCCATAACCATTGCTGTAATGTTTTAAATGCTCCTTTCAGAATATTCTCATTGATGCCTGCGTCCTAGACTCGGATTCAGGGCTCCTCCAACAGGTATGTTTCCAAGGGCTGTGTGGCAGTGGCCAGGCTTTCCGACAGCAACAGTCTCTGTGCTGAACACTTGTAGAGATGATAACACCTTTGCCAGGCATGGTGGCACACTCCGACAATCCCAGCAGTCAGGAAACTGAGGCAGGAGGATCATGAGATTTGAGGATAGCCTGGGTTACAGAGTAAGACTGCAGAGACAATGAGAATATTTTGGTCATATTGAGTTTAATGTGTCATTAAAATGGATTTTTATCTGTTTCTGGTTGTTTGTCTTGAGACAGGGCCTCACTGTAGCTGTAGCTGGATCTGGAACTCACCTGCTTCTGCCTCCTGAGTGACACCATGCCTCCCCCGCTATTCAGTTTTCTAGGAAATAATTTAATTTTCAAGGAAAATGTAAATTCTGCACGTTGCATCATATATGTCTTGGGAATTACTGTTAGATGCTGTAGTTGTGCTTTTTTGTTGGGTCCACCAGCCTGCAAATAATGACATGGAGACTTATTAATTATAAAAGCTCGACCTTAGCTTAGGCTAGTCCCCAACTAGTTCTTATAACTTAACATATTAATCTACGTCCTGCCCTGTGGTATTTCCTCTTCTTCATACTTCCCATCCTGCTACCTCCACGTCTGGCTGGCACCTCTACCTTTCTTCTCAGAGCTCGCCCTCTGCCCAGATCTCACCTATACTCTCCTGCCTAGCTATCGGCTGTTGAACTTTTTATTGCACCAATCACAGCAGTACATCTTCACACAGTGTACAGACACCGCACAAGGTGTTGCTTTGGGGTTGTGTGGGGGTGGGGGTGATAAGAGCTTACTCTAGCCCAGGCTGGGGTCACATTCATGGCAGTTCGCCTCTTTAGATGCTGCTCTTTGAGTCTGAAACTAAATCTTTTAATTTTACCAGAATGGCGAGGGTGTAAAGGTACCCACACCTGAAATAATCAACAAGCCATGGATGACTACCTTTTGCTCACAAGAAGTATTTCTGGGCCAGTGAGATTGCTCAGTGGCTAAAGGTGCCTGTGCCCAAAGCTGATGACTTGAACCCATATGCTGGAAGGAGAGCGCCACTCCCTCAAGTTCTCCTCTGGTCTCCATTTGTGTGCCGTGGCTTGCATATGTGTGCACACACAAATAATAAACGTAAAGACAATTGTTAATATTCCTTCCTTTCCCTTCAACATTTCCTTAAAGAGTTATATCCTTGAAGATCAGTCATCAGTGAAAAGGGGTGGAGGGAGCAGCCTTGAGCCTTGGCTGGTGCTGGGCTGAGGGAAGGGAGCATGCACAGGTCCGAGAGAGCTGGAGACAGGGTTTCTCTGTGTAGCCCTGGCTGTTCTGGAACTCACTCTGTAGACCAGGCTGGCCTCAAACTCACAGAGATCCTCCTGCCTCTGCCTCCCAACTGCTGGGATTAAAGGCTTGTGCCACCACCACCTAACCTGTTTTTTTGTTTTTTAATGCATAAGTGCATTTTAAGGAATTGTTTAGCGATACCTAAGAATTCGTTACATTTTTATTTAAAATCTAGTATCTCTCCCCGTGAGGATGAGACACAGTGTAGGAGTTAGTCTTGTGTGTGGGCGCCATATGACATCCAGTGCTTGTGTCTGTGTCATGTTCAGATGAGGGTGACTGCTGCCTCCTCTCAGCTCCTCAGCCGCCCTGGCTTTCTGTATGTACACTGTTGCAGTTCCCATTGCCTTCTGTATTAGGCTTTCAAGGTGACTTGATTTGCAGCTCTCAAAGGGTCGTTAACTCATAGATAACTCTGATTGAAAGCTGGCTCTGGTCCCTGTCCCTCACCAGGATGCCTCGAGTGTAGGCAGGCTTATTCTGCAGTGCACATGCCATCGCCTCTCTGACCTCAAGTCACTGGTGGAACAGAGCTCTGGCTTTTCTGTGCAGTGGCTCCTCCCAAACTCTGAGCCCTGTCTCTGAGCACAGCATGGTTCACGGGGCAGTCACCCTGCTTTCCCTCTTTCTCTTCCTCCCTTTCCATATTGCTGTGATCTGGATGAATCTGTCCTCAGCACAGATGCTGAATCCCTCTTCTGTCTTCTTTCCTAGCTACCCGTTCTGTGGGGCTTGCAGACATCTGCGCTCTCTTAGCACACTGAAGCTGATGGTGTAAGAGAGGCCATGTTACTCCCTTGCTTAACCGCCCCCGCCCCCACCCCCACCCCTAGCATCCCAGCACTCTTTGGCTAATACCCAAGTTCTTGCCTTGGCTTTCTGTTCACTCCACATCGTCTCCTCTCTTTTCCTGTGAACTCAAGGTGGTATTGCCTGGAACCATAGTTAACCTGGGCTGCTGTGGCCTAGTGCCTTGTTCTTGTCCCCCGCTACCTAGGCTTGGCCCTTGCCTTCCCTCAGCTTTCCTTCCCCATCACCCACTTGATTGTTATGGAAATTAAAATTTATAACATCAGTTTTGTGTCAGCCCGATGTGATCTTCTCCCCCCCCCCCACCTTAAAACAGCAAGGAAATTTTAAAGCAAAGCATTGGGAAGGTCAGAATACGCTGAATGGCACAGAGGGCAGAGAGTGATGCTGCCAGGGGCTATCCTATCTGTTGGCAGTGCTAGGAGCTCACCTCCTGAGGAAGAGACACAGTAGCCTGGGAATCTGGGAATCTGGAGCAGAACTGAGTGATAGTGTCTATAGCGTGGACAGTAGTGAATACATGAACCTCACACCAGCTGACCTTAGAGACCTGTGGAGTACTCATGAACCCCACTCCCCTGGGAATGTCGAGGTTCTCCGTTGGTCGTGACCCCTCTGTCTTGCAGGCTTGTGACATCACAGGGGGATTGTACCTGAAGGTGCCTCAGATGCCTTCCCTCCTGCAGTACTTACTGGTGAGTTAACGGGGGTGGCAGCCAGCCATCTCTAGCATCCCGGGGTAGGAATTGCTGGGAGAGAGTGACTTCAGGGTTCCCAGGCTGAGAAGGGTGGGCTTCCAGGTCTTTGAACTCTGAAAGTGTTTGCAGATGTCATATGATTATATAGCACAGTGTTTAATAAGTGTGGCCTGGGGCTGGCAGCATGGCTCAGTGAGTAAGGGTGCTTGCTGCCAAGCTTGATGACCTAAGCTCAGTCTCAGGATCTGCCCGGGGGAAGGAGAGAATCCCTCCTACCAGTTGTCTTCTGCCTGCCATGTGCGTGTGCACTCACACACATACAAGTGCACAAGTTAAATGAAAAATGAAAAAAAATAATTGTGGGATGAATAATAATGAATCTTAATAGGTGTTAAAGGAAATTATTATTTTGTGTATGTTACGGGCACATACGTTCCCTGAGTGTATGTGGAGGGCAGAGGCCAACTGTCAGGAGCAGTTTTCTTCTTCCAGGTGTGGGTCCCAGGGGTGGAACTCAGCTCATCCGGGCTTGCTGGCATGTGCCTTTCCTCACGGAGCCATCTTACCAGCCCCAGAGGACAGGCTCGAGTTAGTATTCTCCTCAGTGCTGATTGGCTAAGATCTGCTGTTGAGTGTGGTGACTGGTTAGGCTCTGTTGTCTGTGTGTGATGATTGGCTAAATTCTGTTGTCTGTATCTGGACTGTTGCTGTTTTTTCCTTGTATATTTTTTCATTTTTTGTTTGTTTGTTTTTAAACAGTGGGTTTTTCTTCCGGATCAAGATCAGCGATCTCAGCTAATTCTCCCGCCTCCAATCCACGTGGACTACAGGGCTGCCTGCTTCTGTCACCGAAGTCTCATTGAGATTGGCTATGTCTGCTCCGTGTGTCTGTCCAGTAAGCTCATGTGTAGTTTTTTTTCTTGTCTCTGTTGGGGGAGGGGGCGGCATAGAATGTAATCTGGTTTTCAAATCCTTATTTCCTTGTTTTTTGTTTTTGTTTTTTTTAAATTTTGAACAGTTTTCTGCAATTTCAGCCCCATCTGTACCACATGCGAGTGAGTATCTTCACAGGTGCTGATGGGAGTGGGTTCCCAAAGACTTCTGAGCCCTGAAATGTCTTCTCTTTCTATCGTTCCAGGACAGCCTTTAAGATCTCCCTCCCTCCTGTACTGAAGGCTAAGAAAAAGAAACAGAAGGTGGCCCTGTGATGAGCTGTGCATTTCCTGATCCTGCTGCAGCCAGCTCTCCCTGGAGGGCGCTGCTCTCATCCTGTGCTTGTAGGGCGGAGCTGACGTGCACCCCAAGCCTCCCATATTCCATGGAAAGGGGACAAGCACAGGGTTAACACTTTCTGTCTGTTGTTCTAAGGTAGCAGTTGCTTAGCAGAAGCCGGCTGGGCCTGGTTTATCTGTTGTTGCTCAGTTCCTTGGCAGGGTGTTGAATCCCCGCCTTGCAGGTCCTCGGCCAGCACCCCACTGCTCCGCTGCAGCCGCCTGGGATTTTGATCTTAGGTCGTCCTCCCTCACAGCTTGTCGTCTACATCCTGGGCTTTCTGTACTAAAAGGTGGGCAGTGTGTGAAGTTGGAACGCCACTCAGAAAGTTGGACTGGAATCCTGAGTCAGGAAGGTTTTGGGTTTGGATCCTGCCTGGGATGTGCGCATATATATATATATATATATATATATATATATATATATATATATGTGTATGTATATATATATATATGCATATATGACCCTGTCTTTTAAGAGAATGAACATTTTACTTCAAATAAGTTGTTTTCTTTAACTATATTTAAATGTAACCTGACCTAAAGGCATAAGCCTCAATCCCAGCACTCAGGGTGCAGAGATTGAGGCCAACCTGGTCTACACAGTGAGTTGAAACAAACCAGGGCTGCATCTTGCCTCTTCGTTTACAAAAACAAAACAGAACAAACCAGTAGTCAATGTCGGAGACCTGAGTGACTCTAGACTCCCTGCAGGTGTTAGCTGCTCTGTATTCGTCTGGTATGCCAGCATATTTGCACGGAGTTAACCAAGATTATTAGCAATGGTTTCCACCAAAAATGTATAAAATCTGAATTTAAATATACAAAAGGAGCAATCGCTGGGGCTGTGGTAAAGATTGTCAGAGACACGCGAGGGAAGAGTTTGTCGGCTGGGGTCAGAGAGCCACCTCATGGGGAAAAGGAGCTATCTAGAGGTATAACCCTGTCATTTTTAAATAGAATAACATTAATATTGGAGGACTGTTGAATACTAAAAATGTAAATGAGTTCAATAGAAATAGTTGTAATTTCAACAATAAAAATTCTATTTTTATATTTACTAATTTTCTTAAAGTATTTTTCTAGATATTTTTATTGAGTAGTTTTTTTTTTGAGACAGTTTTTCTGTGTAATAGTCCTGGCTGTGTTGGAACACACTTTGTAGAACAGACTCACAGAGATCCTCCTAAGTGTTGGGATTAAAGGCGCACACCACCAACACCCAGCTTGCATTGAGCAGTTTTTTGTTTGTTTGTTTTTAAATTACTAAAAGCTTTCTTAAGAACACTGACCTTGCAGAGGACCCAGGTCCAGTTCTCAGCACTCAGGAAGCAGTTCACAACTGTTTGTTACTCCAGTTCAGGGCATCAAGTGCCCTCTCCTGGCATCCACATGCACCAGGCATAAACATGGTGCACAGACGTGCATGCATGTGTAAGCAACGGTACACATAGAATACAGATCCTAAAGACCCAAGCAGCAACACAAATCAGCAGGCTGGCATGATAGCTCAGCAGGTACTGTGACCTGACTCATCTCCAGGGCCACGTGGGGGAGGACAGAACTGACTCCTGAGTTGTCTCCATTGGGGACTGTGCGGTCTTTTTTCTATATGAGGGACTGAGGCATAGACTTGGAGCTGGTGCCTGGAGGGCCTGCATAGAAAGGTGGCGGGGGCAAGTGCAGGTGCCACTTCTTCCAGCTGTTGCTGTGGGGGCCACTGCCGATCACAGACCTCGGCCCGAGGTGACAGAAGTACAAGCCAGTTTGCTGTGGCTAGTGGATAATGACAGTGGGAGTGGGGACAGATCCATGGGCCACTTAGCTGTCTTTGAAAGGGGAGGACCATGTTACTCCACTGATTAAAGGTGTGTGCCACCACTGCCCAGCTTGAACTAGCCTTCACAGTTGGAGGATTTTCCATGACACTGGCTGTCTGCTTTTGGGGCAGTGGACCGCTTTTGGCTGGGATTGAAGGAAACACAGACATGGCCTTGGCCAAACCAAGAAATAAACAGATTTTGAATATGGTAACTAGGCAAGAGGCACCTTGGACTAATTCAAAGGTTGTATGGCTTTGCTCATACTGCATTTGGTGCTACCATAGAGAAAACACGAGATGGAGTTGATGACCTTACACAGAACCATGACTGGGACGCTGTGTAAATGTACAGTGGTCTTCCAGGAATGGCATACGATAGCCTGGCAGAACTATGTAAGCCTGACAGGCTATTCTTTAGAGTTCTTAAAAAAGTTACTGATCTGGGACCTAGAAACCCCTCTCCTCCCCTACCCATGTTCTGATACTAATAGGTTTTACTTCATGTGTATGACTGTTTGCCAGGAAGTATGTGTATTTGCACCCTGTGCATGTAGTGACTAGGAACACAAGATCCTTGGGGCATCAGATCCCTGGGAATGTGTAGTAACAGGAAGTTGTTACCACGTGGGTGCTGGGAACCGAATTGTGATCCTCTGCAACAGCAGCAAGTGCCCTGAACCTCTGAGTCATCTCTCCAGCCCCGCGGTGTGGTTTCTTGAAGTCTGGGATGGAAAGAAGCCACGATATCCACTGGGAGTAGGGAGCTGAAAAAGCAAACAAGGCCTGGTGGGCAGGGCGAGGATCGGAGCGCTGGCGCTCTTGCACTGGGCCAATCGTAGGACGCTGCTGGCCGATTGGTGGTTGCCATGGCTACTGGTACTTTCGCTAGACACGTAGAAGCCGACTCGCTTGACCTGGACCAATCACGACATGCCCATCACCGATTGGTGGTTGCCATGGCTGCGGGCTCTCAGCTTGGCAACATGGCGTCGTCCGGGCGGCAAAGATTGCCGCTTTTTCTCCTCTGGAATATTGCGGGCTTGTGAATCAGACGCGTCCTCGGGATGAGCTCTCTGTCGCTACTCGGCCTTCTGTGGGGATTTCTCCTGCTGCAGGACGTCCTGAAACCGCTGCGTGGGGACCCGGGTGTGTATGGCGTGGTATGGCCTGCATGGCCCAGGCTAAGGGAACCTGGAGCTCCTAGGATCCTGGAAACCAGGACCACGTACAAAGCCAACACACGCACCCCAGGCACAGGTTCTGCCCTAACTTACCCACCCCGCACCCTTCCTTCTCTCCTAGTTTTTATTCCATCTTTCATACGAATGTCCAGCCCTGAGGTCAGCGCGTCCCTGGTCGGAGGCGGTGAGGACGTCACCGTCTCTCTGATTCCGCTGCAGGTCGAGAAAGGTAAGAGTCTGGCTTTTCTTGGAAGCGTTGGTGCTGTCCTCAGCAGAATAGGGGTGGGGAAGAAAGGCAGTGTCTCTGTGTTGTAGAGCAAAGAGGTTCTGTGGACAGGTTCTGGAAATGGGATCTTGAAATAAAAGTGGCCGACAAACCAGGCATGGCAGCACACGTCTTTAATCCCAGCACTGAGGAGCCAGAGGCAGGTAGATCTGTGAGTTCCAAGCCACCCCGGCCTGCATAGTGAGGCTTGTTTTTGTTTTTTTGTTTTTTTTTGTTGTTGTTGTTTTGTTTTGTTTTGTTTTTGTTTTTGTTTCCCAAAGAAAAAAACTGGTCAGTATTCATTGAGATAGCCCCCTGAGTTTCCCACACAGCATCTCAGGGTTCTCATAAGAACAGTAGGGCCACCAGGCGGTGGTGGCGCATGCCTTTAATCTCAGCACTTGGGAGGCAGAAGCAGGCAGATCTGTGAGTTTGAGGCCAGCCTGGTACAAGAGCTAGTTCCAGGACGGGCTCCGAAGCTACAGAGAAACCCTGTCTTGAAACAACAACAACAAAAAGAATGGTAGCGTCTCTTTATCCCACTGGCAAGTGAGGAGACATACTGCTTGGCCAGTCTCGTTTAGTGTGTCTGTGGAGATTCCCACCCAACGACTCTCGACCCCTTAGCTGCCGGACCCTGATGCCTTGCGTTCTAATTTTTTCCTTAGGAGTGTTGCCAGTTCCTACTTGTGGTGGTCTCAGCAATGAGACAGGAGATTGGAATGTGACTGTTAGCCCCGGTGTGGTAAGACCTGAGGCAAAAGCTCTATTGCGTCTGTAGATTCCTCCTGTGTAGGCTTTGTGCAGGGGCGCGCGTGTACGTGCGTGTGTGTGTGTGTGTGTGTGTGTTGCTGGGGATCAAACTCAGGTCCTGTGTGTTTTACCACACTGTCAGCTCCCCGATGTTCTTGTGATCTGACATTCCATGTTCCACATAAGTGGAATTTTCTTTGGGCCACCAACCAACTCCCAGATAGAGGCATGGAGACTTATTAATGATTATGAATGATCAGCCTCAGCTTCCGCTTCTCCCACTGGCTCTTCTAACTTAATCTAACCTGTTCGTAGTCATCTACCTTCTGCCTCAGGGCTTTTTACCTTTCTTTCATTCTGTATGCCCTAGTATGTCCTACTTTCCTGCTTCCTCTGTGTCTGCCTGGCCTCTCTTTCTCTTTCTCCCCACACCCCCCCAGCCTGAATTTCTTCTGCTTACTCTCCCTGCCCAGAAGTCCTGCCTATGCCTCCTCTCTCGCTATTGGCTGTTCAACTTTTTGTTAGATCAATCAGGTGCCTTAGGCATGCAAGGTAAAACAGTAGCACATCAGAACGTCTATATATAGTTAGACAAATATTCCTCAACATAAATAAATTCAGCACACATTTGCATCATTAAACAAATATTCTGCATCAGTTCCATAGTCAATATTATCTGGAATTGTGGGCTATCAATGTAGATCCCCCATCTAGCGTGAGGTTCTTACCTTAGCACTAATGGTGTGTTTGGATGTGTGACAGGTAGAGAATTCAGACATATAAGACAGCCTGCTTTACATAGTGAGGCCTTATCTAAAAGAGAAAAACAAGCTGGGCAGTGGTGGTGCACGCCTTTAATCCCAGCTCTCGGGAGGCAGAGGTCTCTGTGAGTTTGAGGCCAGCCAGGTCTAGAGAGCGAGTTTCCAGGCAGACTCCAAAGATGCGGAGAAACCCTGCCTCAAAAAACCAAAACAGGACTGGAGAGATGGCTCAGAGGTTAAGAGGATTGCCTGCTCTGCCAAAGGTCCTGAGTTCAATTCCCAGCAACCACATGGTGGCTCACAACCATCTGAACTGATATCTGATGCCCTCTTCTGGCCTACAGACAGACACACAGACAAAATACTGTATAACATAATAAATAAATAAATATTTAAAAAAACATTAAAAAAACCAACAACAACAACAAAAACAAAACAGGGCTGGAGAGATGGGTCAGAGGTTAAGAGAAGTGACTTCTCTTCTGGAGGTCCTGAGTTCAATTCCCAGCAGCCATATGATAACACACACCCATCTATAATGAGATCTGGTGCCCAGAACACTATATACATAATAAATAAATTCAAAAAAACAAAACAACAACAATGAAAACAAAACATCAAAACAAAGTAAAACGCATGAAACTTATTTATTTATTTATTTATTTGAGACAAAGGTTCTCTTTGTAGTTCTGGAGCCTGGAGCCTGTCTTAAAATTAGCTCTGTAGACCAGGCTGGCCTTGAACTCACAGAGATTCACCTGCCTCTGTCTCTCAAGGGCTGGGATTAAAGCTGTGCCCACCACCACCTGGCTAGACACTAATTTTTTTTTTTAGACTTATGAGAGATGAGGCTTCTCCTACTGAATGAATGCTTACCAAGTGCTTAGTGGACTTAGTGTGGATGTGAGAGATAAACGAGTGAGAAGGACTGCTTTAGGGATGGACACTCAGCAGTTCCGGGCCACCCTGAGAGAAGCCGAGCTCTGTTCCCTGTCTTCTGCCTTAGAAGTCTTCTCAGCAAACTGGCTTCAAATACTGGACCTGCATTTACCTTTCTCTAAGTGTCCAAAAGTTGTTTACTTTTATGTTTAAGATGAGGATAAGAGGAGGGGAGTCAGAGAGATGATTCAGTGGTTTCTCGTGCTCTTGCAGAGGACCCAGGAGTGGTTCACAGACATACACACTGGCAGAACACCCGTGCACATAATGTAAAACATATATATTTAGTTTTATATTGAAACACACCACATATGTATGTGTATACACACACACACACACACACACACAGTCTTAGGGTTTCTATTGCTATGAAGAGACACCATGACCACGGCAACTTTTATAAAGGAAACATTTAAATGTGTAGCTTACAGTTCAGAGGTTTTGTCCATTATCATCATGGTGGGACATGGTCATAAGCAGGCAGACATGGTCCTGGAGAAGAAGCTGAGAGTTCTACATCTTGATCCAAAGGGAAAAGGAAGTGAATCGAGACACGGGGCATAGCTTGAGGATATATGAGACCACAAAGCCTAACTCCACAGTGGTACACTTTCTCCTACAAGGCTACACCTCCTAACAGTGCCACTCCCTATGAGCCTATGAGGACCAATTGCATTCAAGCTACCACATACTTATGTGTGTGTATGAGTAAGATTAGGACATGGGTTTGGACATGGTGGGGCACAGCTTTGGTCCTAGCACTTGGGAAACAGAGTCAGGTGGATCTCTGTGAGTTTGAGGTCAGCTTGATTTATATAGCAAGTTCAATACCAGCAGAAGTACACAGTGAGATCCTGACTCGAAAAAGAAAAAGAAAATTTGGACGTGGAGTTGTGTAGATGGCTCGGTGGTTAAGAGCTCTTTCCAAAGAAAGAGCCAGAGGCCAGTTCTTAGTCCCACACGAGGTGACCAACAAACACCTGCAACTCTAGCTCTGGGACATCCAGCATTTTTTTTAAAAATAATTATTTATTTTTATTTTATTTACATTGGTGTTTTGTTTGCATGTGTATCTTTGGGAGGGTGTCAGATCCCCGGAACTGGAATTACAGACAGTTGTGAGCTGCCTTGTGGGTGCTGGGAATTGAACCTGGGTCCTCTAGAAGAGTCATGTCTCCAGCCCTAAGCATCAAGCATTCTTTTTGGGCCTTTTTTGATACCTGCACACACACACAGCAACAGTCATGTGCATATATGTATACACACACTGAATAACAAAGGTAATTAGGAGGAGGTCCGGAGCTTGGGTACTACAGGTTGTTTGGAAGTGAAGAGAAGGCTGCTGTCTTTGTATTGCCCATTCTTCTGCTGTGAGTTGAGCCATCTTGGTAAAACGAAGCAAGGCTCACGTGTGAGTTTACAATGTTTTCTGTTACGTGTTCTCATCATTAGAGATGCTCGCTGCGAGACACTTTAAAGGCACAGCCATGTTTTCCTTCCAGAACGCACTGGAAGTGACAGTCCGGTGGAAGAGGGGCCTGGACCGGTGCTTCTCAAATGAGACTGCCTCCTTCTCAGAGCTCCCGTGCTTCGTGCAGACGCTGCTGGTTTCGGCATCCCACAATGCATCCTGTTTAGCACATCTGCTCATTCAGGTGGAGATTTATCCCAATGCATCTGTGACCCACAATGCATCAGGCAAGTGATGCCTGTGGACAGATACTAGATGTGGCTCTATGTTGTTATTTTGTGGTTGTTTTTGTTTGTTTGTTTTGAGACAGGATCTCATTGTGTAGCTCGAGTTGGTCTAGAACTCACTATGTAGAACAGGTTGTCCTTGAATCACAGAAATCTGCCTGCCCCTGCCTCTTGAGTTAAGTTTTTTTAAAATTTGTATGTATGTGTGTATGTGTGTGTTTGGGTGAATATATGTGTGCTATGTATATGCAGTACCCTGAAGAGATCAGAAGAGGGCATCAGATCCCAGGTACCTGGAATTCCATGCAGAACCCAGGTCCTCTGCAAGAACAGTGGGTTCTCTTAACCACTGAGCCATTTCTCCACTCACCCAGACTCAACTTTTGAGTCTCCCCTGCCTTCCTAAATGTACTATTTTTGTTTGTTTGCTTTTGAGGTTTTTACTTTGTATCATTTTATTTAGTTAAGATCTAGCCAAGCAACTGTGGCACACACCTTTAATCCCAGCACTGGGGAGGTAGAGGCAGGTGGATCTCTGTGAGTTCAAGGCCAGCCTGTTCTACAGAGTGAGTTTCACAACAGTCAGAGCCACATAATGAGACTATCTCAATCTCTCTCTCTCTCTCTCTCTCTCTCTCTCTCTCTCACACACACACACACACACACACACACACAAAACTATCTAGCTCTCCTGATATACTTTTGTAAATCACTTTAAGTCCTTTTTGGGAGAAGGTAAAATTTGTTTCCATGCATTGATCCCCATGTCTCTGCTTAAGAAACTATATTGAACCAGCACTGATGGATGCCGGCCACCTTTCTCAGTGTGACTCGGAAGGTACAGCACTCCCCCCCTTCTGCCGTTCAGACGCTGGCAGGAGCCTGAGCACACTCTATGGAGCTGCTGGCCCACCACGTGGCCAACCTCCGTACTCGCTCAAATGATTCTCTGTCTCTCTCTCTCTGTCTCTCTGTCTGTCTGTCTGTCTGTCTGTCTCTCTCTCTCTCTACCTCTTAAGCTCACACCTATGAATCTATAATAAATTTCTTTTTAAAACTCAGAGAGAGAGACTGTGGGTGCAGCTCATGTGGGAGAGTGCCTGCCTACCACACAAAGCATGGGTTCAATTCCTAGTAATGCAGAAACTGAGCAGGGTTATGCTTGTCTGTAATCCCAGCACTGGGAGGCGGCGGCAGGAGAATCAGAAAATCCAAAGTCATTCTTGGTTATACAGTACGTTTGAGGACAATCTGAGCTACATAATACCATGTTTCTTAAATAAAAGGCGTGGGGATGGCTTGTTATAACAAGTGCTACCATCATGGTTCTCTTGCCTGCAGCAGACTCCATCATCTCTTGCCTGCGTAGTTATGGCTGGCCTTGATCTTACCTGGTAGCTAAGGTTAGCCTCTACTTCAAACCATCCTGCCTCAGACTGAGGGCTATGATCATGTGTGTGCACTACCATGCCCTAATTCCAACTGATATTTTGAGACAGAGACTCACATAGTCCATGGTGACCTGGAGTTCACTTGTGTACCTGAGGCTAGCCTGAATCCTGACCCTCCTGCCTTTGCCTCCCAAGTGCTGGGATGATAGGCATGAGCCACACACTCAACTCAAACACTTATTAAAGGAAGAAAAAGGAATCTTTCTGAAGAAAGCAGTGGTTTTTATTTTAGAGTTTTTTGTTGTTGTTTTTGTTTGTTTATTTTTTAATGCTTAAAATTCGAAACAAACCAAGAAAATATTCAGTGCATCCTTGGAAAATCTCCTGGAGAAAACCCGTGAAGAGGAAAGTACCTGCGGAAGGCTCTTGTGGTTGCCACGATTCAGAGGCTTGCCTGACAGTGTTTCCTCCATGGGCTGCAGATGCTCGGTGACCAAGAGTGCATGCTGCGCTTCCAGAGGACCCGGATGCAGGTCCTAGTGCCCCATCCTGTGGCTCACAGATGTGGGACTCTCCCTGGAACCCGCACTCATGTACACCCTCCCCACCATAATTCAAAAAAAAATTTTTTTTTTGAGACAGGGTTTCTTTGTGTAGCCCTGACTGTCCTGGAACACCCTGTGTAGACCAGGCTGGCCCTGAACTCACAGTGATCTACCTGACTCTGCCTCCTGAGTGCTGGGATTAAAGATGTGTGCTACCACCGCCCAGTCAAAATAAATCTTTGAAGTATTTTCCATACTAGATTTTCATGTCCACCCAGCCTAGCCAGTTCAGAGAGTTCCAGGTTCAGTGAGAGACCCTGCTTTAGAAATGTAAGGTGGGGGCTGGAGAGATGGCTCAGCAGTTAAGAGCACTGGCTGATCTTCCAGCAGATCTGAGTTCAATTCTCAGCAACCATGGTGGCTCACAACCATCTGTAATGAGATCTGGTGCCCTCTTCTGGCCTGAAGGCATACATGCAGACAGAACACTGTATACTAATTAATAAATCTTTAAAATTAATAATAAAAAATAAACCTAAGGTGGAATGCCTGGCATGATGGTGCGCACCTGGAATCCTAGAGGCAAGTGCATCTCTGTGAGTTCAAGGACAGCCAGGCCTATATAGTGAGACCCAACCAAAACCACCAACAACTAAGGTGAAGAGAAAACACCTGACTTCAGGCTCTGCTTCCACACACATGCACATGTGCATACACATGCATGTACACGCACACGCATGCACACACTCTTGCACATTGTGATTCAGCCTTTTTATGAATCTCAAGAACTGTCTATGCTTTTCTTCATAGCTGAGCCTTTTCTGCCATATGTGCTTTTCAGATAACATGACCGTCATTCCTAACCAAGTCTATCAGCCTCTGGGTCCCTGCCCTTGCGACTTGACAGCCAAAGCCTGTGACATTCGCTGCTGCTGTGACCAAGTGAGTTCTCTCTGTTTGCCAGGCTACCTGAGAGCATTTGGGACAACAGTCACCCCTAGCAGCTTTGGATAGGTGACGACAGAAATTATATTTCATTTTACAAATCATTGTTTTAAAAGATTTATTTATTTTTATGTACATTGGTGTTTTGCCTGTGTTTATGTCTGTGTGGGTGTGTCAGGTACCCTGGAACTGGGGTTACAGACAGTTGTGAGCTGACATGTGGGTGCTGGGAATTGAACATGGTTCCTCTGGAAGAGCAGTCAGTGCTTTCAACCCCTGAGCCATCTCTCCAGCCCCGTTTTTGTTGTTGTTGTTGTTGTTTGTTTGTTGGTTTGTTTATTTTTTATTTTTTGGTTTTTTTTGGGGGGTTGGTTTTTTTTTGGTTGGTTTGTTTTTTGTTTTTTGTTTTTTTTTCAGATACGGTCTGCCTCTATCTCCAATCAGAAAATTGTGTTTGAACTGAGTATTTTCTCTTCTAGTATTGTTTGTGTAGTTTGTGGAGGACAGAGAAAAGAATATGTCTTTGGATAAAGCACATTTGGAAAAGCGATAGCTAGAGGATGATTTTAATCTTCCTACATTTATTTTTGGCATATGGTGTGGTATGGTGTGTTTGTGGGGGCGTTATAGAGGCTTCTGCCACAGTGTACATGTGAAGGTCCAGGAATCAAGCCTACGTTGTCACCTTTGGCAGGAAGGAGCTTTGCATGCTTAGTCACATGCAAACATGTGTGTGTGTGTGTGTGTGTGTGTGTGTGTGTGTGTGTGAGACAATGTCTCACTGTGTAGCCTCAGACTTAAGTCAGTCCGCCTTCTTCAGCTTCCCTGAGTACCAAGGGTAGGCACAAACCTTGATACCTGTTTTATCTGTCTGTCTATCTATCTATCTATCTATCTATCTATCTATCTATCTATCTATCTATCTCTGTCTCTTTTTCTTTTACCTGCCTCTTCTGAGTGCTGGGATTAAAGGATGCACCACCACCGTCCAGCTTTACACCTACCTGGTTTCTAATACATATCGTAAAATGTTAAATTTAAGAGAAATGAGAAGAATGTTTGCCAGTATCCATGGTGTCCCAATTTTGCACGAATATGAATGTATGTGCTTTTTTTTTTTTTGCTTCTCCCCCTGGGAAAATGCAGTATTTTGTTGTTTTTGTTCATTTGCTTTGAATCTCACTGTATAATGTTGATTAGTCTGTAACTAGCTCTGTATCCCAGGCCGGCCTTGAACTCACAGATATCCCCCTGCCTCTGCCTCCTGAGTGCTGAGATTAAAGGACTAATGTTGCTGGTCTTAATGCAGGGTCTTGTCGTGTAGCCTTGGCTGGCATGTGTGACACATGTGTCACATGTGTGACACTGTGCGTGTGTGACACACCCCCACCCATGGCAAACTTGCCTGCTTAAGTCAAGTAGCCGGTGCACAAAAGGCTGTGCACTTAGTTGTTTTGAGATAGGGTCTCGTGTAGCTGCAGATAACCTTAACTCCTGATTCTCTTCTGCTTCCACCTTTCAAGTACCAGAATGACAGATGTTTGATACCATGCCAAGCAAAACAACCCTTCACCCCGCCCCCAGCGATATGTAATGTCAACCTTCCCCCCGGATATGTGATATCTAATTTTGATCTTTTGAGTGGTAAACACACACCGGGAACACATCACCATAGCACTGGGGAGGTGGAGGCAGGAGGGTCAGGTGCTACAGTTCAGCAGCAGCTTCAGATTATAGGGCGGCCTGGGGTACACGAGACCCTCAAACAAAAGAAAAGGCTGTCGGAAAAACCTGTCCGCAGTGTCATAGTGACACGCACCCGTGTGTCACTGTGGTCCACCACCATCAGTGTATTTACATAGTCAGGTGGCAGGCGACACATGGCGCTGCCAGGCTGTACCCAGACTGCCACTAACAGTGATATGACCTCCTTCACTATCTGCCGTTGGAGCTGGTTGTATTGTGTGTTCTATTAGTTGCTACTGTTAGGATTTACTGATCTGCTGGCAAGTGTGGTGCCACACTCCAGTGAGCCTTGCTCTGAGAGGTTAAACCTGAGAATCGTCATGAACGGGAAGCTGGCCTGGTCTACATAGTGAGGCTCTCTCATAACAGAGGAGCAGGGCCAAGTGTGGTGGTGCACATGTATGCATAGGCATGCATGCAGGCAAAACACCCACACACATAAAATAAGCATTACTTAAAAAAAAAAATCCCAATCTTCATAGTTAGCTCTAGTCAGAGCGTCTCAGTGAGACCCTGTCTCTAAATAACTAAGAAACCAAAAGGCAACAGTGGATAGAACATGATGGCTCATGTTTAACCCCAGCACACGGGAGGCAGAGGCAGTGGATCACTGTGAATTTGAGGCTAGCTTGGTCTACACGATGAGTTCCAGCCAGAGAGCCCTTGTCTCAAATAATAAGTAGATATACACGCCAAACATATTTGTGTTGATGATGTCTTCAGATAATCCCAACTTATACTTTATGCACAATGTTAATTTTGAGTTTGAGGTACTGGGATTGAATGTAGGCCTCGCAGATCCAAAGATCCCACTGGGTAATACACCCAGCTCTTCTCTGTTCCTTTTTAAATTTTGAGACAGAGTCTTGCTAAGTTGCCGAGGCTGGTCTTGAGCTTTTGGTCCTCCTTCCTCAGATTCCTGAGTAGCTGGACACCTGGCTCTTATTCTTTTTTGGGGTGAATGTGGGTGTGGTTTTTTGAGGAAGGGTTTCTCTGTAATAGCTGTGGCTGTCCTGGAGCTTGCTCTGTAGACCAAGCCAGTCTCCAGCTCACAGAATTCTACCTGCCTCTGCCTCTCAAATTCTGGTATTAAAGATGTGTGTCACTACCACCCGGCTTGAGGCTTACTCCTTTGAAGGCTGGAAGTTTCTGCCTGGGACTTTACTAGGGAGTTGACTAAGGAACTGTGTGTATTGTTGTTGCTCATGAATGCATATATTTGCAGAAGCCAGAAGGCAACCTTGGATGTTATGCCTTAGGACCATGCATCCTTCTTTCTTTGGAGACATAACTCCTCACTGAACCTGCAGCTGGCAGAGTAGACTAGGCTGGCTGTCTAGTGAGCCCCAGGGATCTCCTTCTTTCTGTCTCCCCAGCACTGGAATTATAATCATGGGCCACCAACCTCGGCCTTTCTATGGAGGTCCTTGAAGTCGAACTCAGGTCCTGTTGTGTGGCAAGCATTTTTACTGACTGCGCCTCCTCCGCATCCCTAAGGAGCTCTTCTTGCACCGCAAAGCACTTTGGGAGGAGATGGAGACGGATTGCTTTCTCAGCTATGGGGTTCCAGGCTGGTAGCATCGGAGGGCATGTGTCATGCTTGCTGCAAGCTGTGTCCAGTGTCACAGTGGGAGCTCAGGCGCCCTCACTGTCCTTTCCTCTGTTTCCAAGGACTGCCAGCCGGAAGTAAAGGAGCTGTTCCAGCAGTCCTGCTTCTCCGGTGTGTTCGGAGGGGACGTCAACCCTCCCTTCGACCAGCGCTGTGCCGTGGGCACCACTCATGAGACCCCAGACTGGTTTCCTTTCCTGTGTGTGCAGTCGCCCCCCTCCACCTCGCCTTTCCTTGGTGACTTCTATCATGGTGCCACGTGAGTAGCCGCTGCCTGGAGGACCTGTTTCTAGCTTCACCAGGTTTCCTCTACTTGGCTTGGGTCACATTTCTTCTCAGTACCTTAAAACAGTCTATACTGGTTTGCCATTAGTGAGGTCATTTCTTCCCAAAGTGTCAGAAAGAACTGAGAACCCAGCAGAATCAGCCGCAGTCCCCAGTGACCTTCCAGCACGGAGGAGGTGCCAAGGGCTCACAGGGACTTGAACTTTCTGTTTTATACTTCAGTATCATTGAAATTGTTGTGGTTGTTGCTGTTGTTTTGAGACAGGATTTTTCTGTGTAGTCCTGGCTGTCCTGGAACTCGCTCTGTAGACCAGGCTGGCCTCGAACTCAGAGATCCACCTGTCTCTGCCTCCCGAGTGCTGGGATTAAAGGTGTGCGCTGCTATTGTCACTACCACCCCTTCCCAGCTGAAGAATTTATGATCTCTGTAAATAAATAAATAAAATGAAGATCTGGGATTGGTGTTGTATCCCTGAAACCCCAGGAGGCAGAGACAGGAGAATCAGGAGTTTAAGGTCATTCTTGGCTATATAGAGAGTTTGAGGCCTGCATGGGCTATATGAGACATATATCAAAGCAGAGAGGAAGCATTACAGGGTGATTTGTTTCCTAGTAGATCATCGTCGAACTGTTATCAATCATTTTTTTATGGTGTTGGGGTGGAACCTCAGCCTATATAAGTATGCAGGCTAAGCAAACCCATGCCGGCCCATGGATAATTAATTTCTCTTGCGGATTTGCAGTTCCCCTAGACGTGACCCTGCCTTTGAAGCCCATCTGCACCTTGACCTAAGAGACTTCACTGATGCTGGCTACAAACAAGGAGATCCCATCATGACCACAATGGGGTATTTTACCATCCCTCAGGTAACGCCTTCCATTTCCACATTTGGATTCAAGTAGTGTCCGTCCTAAGCAGCTGGTTTTCCTCCTGTGCGTTAACTACTAATAGTCTCTATACTGAAAAGACTTTCTTAACCCTCTTCACTAATTACAGCGTGTATATCATCATGGGGAGAGTCTCCATGGAGACGCCTGAGAGGCGGTGGCCAGTTTCCACCTCATCCCCTTTCAGTATTTTGTGTTGCTGGGGCTGGTACTGAAGGCCCTGTGTGTGCCAGTCCAGGGCTCCACCACCAGACTACATCCCCAGCCCCAGCAATTTCTAAGAAGCCAGAAGTATGTGACTGTATAACATTCGGAATGTTGAAACGTCCTTTCAGGTTAGAGAGTCTTAGGTGGAATCTTTGTTTTTTCTAACTCCGTTATCATTAGACCATGCCTGTGGGAGGACAGCATGGGACGCAAACAGTTTGTTATTCCTGTGTCATTGAAGCTGTGGGGGGGTCAGGAAGTGGTGCTTAGCATAGAGTTTTTGGTTACGCCTGGCTTTCCCGTCTCCCTCAAAATTCAGGCTGTGATGAGGAGGAACTGAGGTTGAATATAATCGTGACTTGTTAATGGAAGGGCCAGGACCTTCCCCGAGTGTATTGGAGAACACTTCTATGGGTAGTGGCTTCCAGATCTTGGCTCCCTGAAGTCGGTCACCTTGAGTACTAACTGTTGACATCATCCAGCAATAGCAGCGGGCGGTAGAGAGCAACATGGAGTAGGGTGGCATCGAAATAAGGTCTCCCTGTAGCCTAGCCTGGTTCTGAATCTAGTGCAACCCTGCCTGAACCCCCCAAGTCCTGGGATGGCAGACTTGAGCACCACGCTTGACAGAAAGAATGTTTTTAAGACAGGAAGAAATCGGTGTACCATATTGGTTCCTTGCCCTTAGGTCTCCCTGGCTGGACAGTGTCTGCAGGATGCTCCAGTGGCTTTCCTGAGGAATTTTGATATTAAATGTACCATCAGTCTGGAAGTGCACCGAGAACGAGATGGCACCGTCCCTGAGACTATGAAGATTCGCACGGCGGGAGGTAGGGTGCCTTTGCGGTTAAAACAGTGTGTAAGCTTCTGGCTCTGCATCCGTGATGGCTCATCTGTTGGTTGAGGATGGTTTTTTTTCACAGGAAAAGTTCAGTCTGATTGGACAGCACCCTGTACATGTGGTTGGTGCTTTCTTCTCTACTCTGGGCACGGAATCCTGTGTTCAAGCACTGAGTCCCATCCCCTCCCCAGGTCTCTATTGTGACTTAAGTCAAATCTCCATAATGTCACATGAGTACCATTGGCTTTCTGTGCAATCCTGCGCACCCTACACACCCGAGGAGCCCCAGGCCTTTCAGTGCCGCAGAGGGAGCTGGCATTTTCTGTGCAGTGAACTGCTGAGCTCTTGTCTGTCCTTCCACTTCCTATCGGCGGAGCCACTGCTTTGCTGCTGGCTCTCCGAACCCTTGCTAGGGTGGAGAGACCTGAACAAAGGATGGACACACACTGTGACTCTGGGATAGTCCGGTGGGGTTCTCCAGCTTCAGCCGGGAGGCTGGCTAGTCTCTGTGGGTCTCTACAGGTGGGCTCATGGGCTCTCAGCATCCAGGAGGAAGTTGCAGTTGCTGGTCTCTGCACACACAGATGAACAGTTCCTAAATACTCCTACTCATTCTTCTTTGAACCTGGCCCATATGAGTAATGGCTTTGCTATTTCCTATGGGCCAACTGGTCTCAGAGTCCATACTTGTGTCAAAGTACACACTGACTCAGGACCTCACCCCCGCCCCCTCCCGGGCTTTCTCTGCTCCTGCGCTTTGTTCTGTGGCCTTCACATCTGACTTCTTTCACTTAGCATCATCTTTTTTATATTTTTGTTTTTCAAGACAGAGTTTCTCTGTGTATCCCTGGCTGTCCTGGAACTCAGTCTATAGAACAGGCTGGCCTTGAACTCAGTATGTGTCAACTTCTGCCTGGAGCGTGCTGGGATTGAAGGCGCGCGCCACCACTGCCCATCTTTAGTGTTAGCATCATCTTTTGAAAGCATATGTCTGTGCCACGTTACTTATTTACTTTGTTGTAGGGCCAAGGAGTATTCTGCTGTGTGGATCAGCCACATTTCGTGACCGACAGATACTTGGCTTGTTTTGTGGGATATGGAGTGGGATTGCCATGCCATGTAGTTTACGTGATAGTTTGAGGGACCCCAGACTCTCCAAAGTGGCTGCACTGTGTGCATCCCACCCCGCTGCACCACAAGTGCTGGTGCCGACTCTTTGTGGGTATAGTGAGTGGCTGGGACAGAGGGACCCCAGCCTTTGATGATGTAAGGGGGAGAGAGGGGGAGGGGACCTCAACACAGGCATGGCTGCCCAGTAGCCTATTTCTTTTCCTTTCTTTTCTTTTCTTTTCTTTTCTCTTCTTTTTTTTGGGGGGGGGGCGTTGAGACAGGATTTCTCTGTGTAGCCCTGGATGTCCTGGAACTCACTCTGTAGACTAGGCTGGCCTCGAGCTCACAGAGATCCACCTGCCTCTGCCTCCCACGGGCTGGGATTAAAGGAGTGCACCACCACCGCCCAGCCAGTCACCCTTTCCTTTCTTTTTTGAGATAGCATAGCCTAGGGTGACCTTGAGCTTCTGAGCCTTCCTCCTGTGAATGCTGGGGTTGCAGGCACGTGCCACAAGCCTGGCTCTTTGTTAGCTAGGTAAACCCCTGGGAGTAGTGAGTGGCACCATGAGGGACCACTAGTCTCTGTGGAAGTTAATTTGTTAGGGGATATTTAATCACACTGTGAACCCCAAGTTTGCATTAGCAGTAATTAAATAAAATTAACCTTGGGTCAGGAGGCTCAGTTAGCAACTAGTTGACAGAAAGTGATCAGAGAGAATCAGAGGGCATCCAGAAGAGATAGAGAGACACACCAGGAGTAGGAAGGATTTGGAGTGGTGCAGATTTTTTTTGTGTTAAAAAAAAAAGAGCAAAAGGATAAAATGATGTGCTGTTTGGAGAGATGCCAGCAAGGAGAGAAGGTTAGCCAGTTGCTGCTCAGCCTCTCTGAGCTAGCGGGCTTTCACCCCAGCCTCTGAATCTCGTGTCTTATTTATAAATAGAGAGATAAAGGTTTAGTTAAAGCTGCATTTAGTGGCAGTGGCAGAGTTGCAGTTTCTGGCTGAAATAACAGTAGACTAAGGTGCAGCTACTTGCCAAGTTGAAACATCATTGATTCTGTGTCTTTTAGGTCTGGTCACACCAAGAGTAAGCTATGAGGAAGCCGCTGATCTGGACAAACGCATCTCCAGTTCAGGTACATAGTGTTACATGTTCATGCCACTGCTACAAAACACAGGTGCTGTTCCTTTTCTATTTTATTTCCTTTTTGAGGCAGGGTCTCACTATGTGGCCCTGGCTGGCCCGGAACTCCCTATATAGACCACACCTGCGTCTGTCTTCTGGGTGCTGGGATTAAAGGTGTGTGACACTGTATCTGGTTTTTTGTTTTTGTTTTTGTTTTGTTTTGTTTTGTTTTTTTTTTGGACAGGGTTTCTCTATGTAGCCCTGGCTATCCTGGAACTCTCTCTATACCAGATTCTCCTTGAACTCAGAGATCCGCCTGCCTCTGCCTCCTGAGTGCTGGGATTAGAGTTATGTGCCACCACTGCCCAGCATTTTAAAACAAATTTTTAAAGACTGATTTTTATCTTTGTGTCTGTGTGGTGTGTGCTAAGGCCAGGAGAGGGAATCAGATCTCCTGGAGCCTTACTTACAGGTGATTGACGTGAGTGCTAGGAAGCAAACTCTGGCCCTCTGCGAGAGCAGCAGTCACTCTAACAACTGAGCCACCTCTGCAGCCCCTTACAAATGAAAATTACGTGTTACGTTTTGTGTGTGTGGGGAGGGCTGGGGTTGAGCTTGTGCACATCAGTACAGTGCTCTTGAGTCCACAAGGGGGGTTGGATCCCCTGAAGCTAGAGTTAGAGGCAGTTGTAAGTTACCAATCCTGGGTGCTGGAAACCAAACTCTGGAAGAGCAGTACTCTCTCTCAAGTACTGGCCGCCTCTCCAGCCCTGTCGTTTGTGTTTCTGAGACAGCGTCTCACCATGTATCACAACCATCACTACTTAGCCTCTTGATTGCTGCTGAGTGGCTTTCTGTGTCTATCTTCCTTGGGTGGCACATCACCAGTGTAGAATGTATTTTCATGGGGCTGGAGAGATGGCTCAGAGGTTAAGAGCATTGCCTGCTCTTCCAAAGGTCCTGAGTTCAATTCCCAGCAACCACATGGTGGCTCACAACCATCTGAACTGATATCTGATGCCCTCCTCTGGCCTGCAGACAGACACACAGACAAAATATTGTATACATAATAAATAAATAAATATTTAAAAAAAAGAATGTATTTTCATTATGAGTTGAAGGAGGAGGGGCTATGGAGATGGCTCAGAGCGGTCCTTGACATGCAGGTGGGCGGACCTTCGTGTGGCCCCCACCATGTGTACGAGGCTGGGCCAATGACATGCACTGCAACCTCGGCTCTAGGGTAGTGGAGACAAGAGCATCCCTAGACCTCAGCAGCCAGCTGGGTTAGCAGAGCTGGTGGACTTCAGCTTCAGTGAGAGACCCTGCCTCAAAAAAATCAGGTCAGACGGACGTCATGGTGGTGCACACCTTTAACCCCAGCATTTGGCAGACTGAGGCATGTAGATCACTATGCATTCAAAGCCAGCCTGTCTACATAGCAAGTTACAGGACAGCAATATATATATGACTGTATCTCAAAACAAAACACAAAGTAAGATGACGGGCCAGAGAGATGGGTCAGTGGGTGAAGGTGTTTGCAGCAAGCTTGAGCACCCGAGTTCAATTCCTGGGACCTATGTGGTGAAAGGTGCCAGCCAACTCCTGAGACTTGTCCTTTGACCTCCACTTGGGCACTGTGACAAGCCTGCATGTGTATGTGTGTGTGTGGGGACATGCAAGGGTGTGTGTGCACATTCAGGAACACACACTAATAATAAAAATGTGAAAAAAGAAAGATGAAAGATGATTGAGGAAGATGTACAGCACTGAACTCTAACCTCTACATGCACCCATGGGCACTGTACACAGACACACACAGGAATGCTTACACATACGTAAACACACAAAGTAATTAAAAATTTAAAAACGGGGGCTGGAGAGGTGACTCAGTGCTTGAGAGCATTTGCTGCTCTTGCAGAGGACCAGGTTCAGTTCCCAGCACCACATGATGGCCCACATCTGTAACTTCAGTTGCAGGTGATTTGACGCCCTCTTCTACCCTCCTGGGCACCAGTCACACACCATGGTGCATACACTTACGTGCACATGCAAGCAAGACCCTCATGCACGTGAAATAAAAATAATACATACATCTTTAGGAAAGAATTGATGGAGCCTCAGCAGAGTTGGGGGGACGCTCCAGCAGAGTTTTGTGGCATGTTCTGCTTGTGTGGCTTCTGTGAACTCTGAGACCTCAGCCACCTCCTCACAGGCCCCGAGGGGATGTGCTGCAGAGCCCTCGCCAGCTCTCAGGTTCTGAGGCCTTTGCTTAGGTCACTCTTAGGTTGTTAATCTTTGCGGACACCGCGTTGTCATTCTTGCCTACTTTATTTTCTAATCCTCATGCACATGCATGTGTGTGTGTGTGTGTGTGTGTGTGTGTGTGTGTGTGTGCGCGCGCGCGCGCATGTGCATGTGCATGTAAATCAGGACAAGTTCAGCTGTGGGTACTTGTCTCCCCCCTTTATGAAAGAGGTGTCTTGTTCTTTGATGCCAGTGCTGGGCTAGCACCAGAACTGAAGCTGAGTTCTCTCAGCTGGCTTTCTGTGGGTTCTGGGGATCTGAGCCTTCTCTCCAGTCCCCTTTCTTGCTTTTCCTGGTGGTTAAACTTTGCATCCAGAACGGCTGTGTGGTGTGGCTGATTCAGCAGCCCTTTGTTTTGAATGAAGGTGTGGCTTGTGTTCCTTTCTAGTGGGTTATGACCTTGTTCCTGGCTGTGTGTTTGAAATTCATACTGTCTAATAGCTTAATAGCTGCCAGGCCTCAGGTCTCTGCTTCCGGATGCATGAGTGTCCCCAAGTGCAGAGGTCAGCACCGGGGACACAGGAATCACAGGAAAGGGACAGAATCATTCAGGGAGCCGAGGTGGAATAGAGGATGTGGCTAATTGACGTGGGACCACAGGAAGCTCCGTGGAGGAAACAGTGGACGGCTTCCTTAGGGAGCTAGAGAGATGGCCGTGGGGGTGCCCACTCAGACAGAGAGAGCCTCAGGAACACTTCAACTCAGACAGGGTTTTTCTTTGCAGACACACTTCTAAACAGTGGATCTGCCTCCAGAAATGTGAGCCTTGAAGAGCATTACGTTTTCAGATGGCAAAATAATTCTATCAGCGGACTAGACATCACAGTCATCAGGGCAGAGATCAGTGCCCACCAGAAAGGTAACGCGGAGAGAGGCTGAGAAAGCCTTGGGTTGGAAGTGTTCTGTTTTCCGATGGTTTCTGTAACTGCGACTCTTCAAGTGGAGACAGACTTGTTTATCATGTGTGTTTATCACTGACTCGAGGAGTCAGTATTTTTTCCCCCAAGACAGAGTTTCTCTGTGTAGCCCTGGGTGTCCTGGATTTAGCTCTGTAGACCAGGCTGGCCTTGAAGTCACAGAGATCTGCCTGCCTTTGCCTCCTGCATGCTGGGATTAAAAGGGTGTGCCACCACTGCCTGGCATGCGTCAGGACAGCAGATGTAATTTTGCTCCGGGCATGGTGGCTCGCACCTGTAATGTTAGAGCTCTGGAGGCTGAGACAGTGAGTTCAAAGCAGCATAGATACATATAGTGAAGCCCTGTCTCAAAGGAACAAAAAAAAAAAAAAAGTGATTTTTAAAGTAAATGGTACTTAGGCTAGAGAGATGGCTCAGCACTGGCTGCTTTTCCAGAGGACCTGGGGTTCAGTTCCCAGCACCCGCATGGCAGCTCACAGGAGATCAGTGCACACTCCACAGACACCTGCTGTGGCTTGCACGTCCACACACATGTACATGTCATTAAAAATAAAGTTTCCTTGGGTGCCGGTGGTGCATGCCTTTAATCTCAGCACTTGGGAGGCAGAGGCAGGCAGATCTCTGTGAATTCATAGCCAACTTGGTCTATAAAATGTGTTCTAGAACAGTAGTGCTGTTACACAGAGAAAAACTGTCCCAGTACCCCTCCAAAAAGAATTAAATAAAAAAAATAAAGTAAATAGTATCACTGGGCAGGCAAGATGGCTCTGCTGGGAGGGTGCTTGTGACAAGCCTGACAGCCCGAGCTTGTGTCCCCAGAACTGACTCCGGCAAGTTGTCTTCAGACCTCCACATGTGTGCCAATGCTTGTGCATCCACACATGTATACACACACTGTTACGCTCAGATCGTGAAGTCCCCCCAGAACCGACTAGGAGACCAAACCTGTATGTCAAAGCAAAGAGCCTTTATTCTTATACAAGTTTGCAAACTCGGATTCTCTGTGTGTTCAACGTATTGGAGTGGTCGGAGAGCCCCAAGCTCAGCTGGGGTTGGGGTCTTATAGTAGCAATAGAAAAGGTGGGGTGAGTGATTTCTAAGGCTCAGGACCCCTGACTGGCTGACGTTTGTGTAGGGGTGTCCTGATGAAAAATGATGGGTGTGTGCTGGCAGGCAATCCTGTCTACAATGGTTGGAATGTTTATGACTTTCCCTGGGACCTGGTGCTGCCTGCTATGGCAGCTGTGCAGCCTGGGTGCCATGTATGGCCAGGCTGCCCTGGGCCCCACGTGGCCTGGGCCCTATCATGTGTGGCTTGGCTGCCCCCCCCCGCAGTAAATAAAACATAATTTTTTTAAAGATTTATTGATTGATTGATTGATTTTATTATGTATGCAGTATCTGTCTGCCTGTACACCTGCATGTCAGAAGAGGGCACTATTTCTCAGCATAGATGGTTGTGGGCCACCATGTGGTTGCTGGGAATTGAACTCAGGATCCTCTGGAAGAACAGTCAGTGCTCTTAACCTCCGAGCCATCTCTCCAGCCCAAAACGTAATTTTAAAAGAAGAGAAAAAGTGGTATGGGCTTGGCTAGCATATGCCTTTAATTCCAGCACTCGGGAGACGGAGGCTGGCAGGAATCTTCTGTGTAGACCAGGTTGGCTTCAGCCTCCTGAGTGCTGGGACCAAATGTGTATAATAATACACTTGATTTGTTTCTGTTTTGGGTCTTGGTTTTTGTTTTGTTTTGCTTTTTAAGATGATAGCCTGGACTGGCCTCCACCTCAAAGCCATCCTCCTGCCTCAGCCTCCTGAGTGCTGGAATTACGGCATGTGTTGCCATGCCTGGCACGTGGGCATTGCCTTCTTTTCCCAGTGAAATGGTACACATTATGTCTCCAGTTTCTTTCCTCTCTAGGAACAGTGGTCCAAAGATTCACAGTGAAGTTTTTAAGCCATGACAGTGGTGATGAGAAGGAATCTTCTGGAAACCCAGGTAGGACGACCGATGTGCTGGTCTGCACAGGCCCTAGGGTGGCTCTCCTGGGCTGTGGCCTGGTTGTCAGGAGCTGTCCTCAGTTGTGTTCGTCTCCATGGCCGGTTTATCCTGGGACAGTCCACTTTCCCCGATGGCAGCTCAGTATTGTAATACACAATGTTGCTTTAAGTGCAAATTTTATTCTCTTTAGCTTCTGGTGTTTTATTTTTGTTTTTTGTGGGTTTTCCCCCCCTTTTTTTGTTTATTATTATTTTTTTTCTATAGGACTTCTCAATGTAGCCCTGGCTATCCTGGAATTCTCTCTGTGAACTCAGAGATTAGCCTACCTCTGTCTCCCAGTGCTGGGATTAAAGGCATGCACCACTACCACTGGTTAGTGTGTGTCTCTGTGTGTGTGTTTAATGATTTATTTTTATTTCATGTGCATTGGTGTTTTGCCTGCATGTATGTCTGTTGGATCCCCTGGAACTGGAGTTACAGACAATTGTGAGCTGCCATGTGGGTGCTGGGAATTGAACCTGGGTCCTCTGGAAGAGTAGTCAGTGCTCTTAACCACTGAACCATCTCTCCAGTCCCTTTTTTAAAAATTATTTTTACTTCTGTTTATGTTTGTGTTCACTCACACGTGCCTCTTGTGTGCAGGCACCCATGGAGGTCAGACTCCCTGGATGTGGCGTTTCAGTCAATTGTGAGTTGCCCAGAACATGTGTTGGGACCCAACCTGGGGTCTTCCGGAAGAGCAACAATTGTTCCCAACCACTGAGCCATCTCCCCAGCTCCCAGGAGGTTTTTGGTTTTTGGTTTTTTTTTTTTTTTTTTTTTGGTATTTGTGTGTAGCCAAGGCTGGCCTTGAACTCTGAATCTAATGTCCTCCCTCAACCTTCTGAGTAACTAGGATTATAGGCACTGTACTGGTGCCTTTTAAAAGATGTTTATTGTATATATGGTGTTCTGCCTGCACACCAGAAGAGGGCACCAGATCTCATTACAGATGATTGTGAGCCACCATGTGGTTGCTGGGATTGAACTCAGGACCCTTGGAAAAGCAGCCTCTGAATCATCTCTCCAGCCCGCCTTTGTCCTTTTGAAAGAAAGCTGACACTCTGTTGTGGGCCACTGTCCTCTGAGTATGGCAGCCGTTGTCACCTTAGAGCAGCTGTGACTTTATCTACAGGAGACCCCAGGAAGGTCAGGCCTGTTTCCCTCCAGCTGCTTGGGAGATACTGGTACATAGGGGTGGAAGGCTAGCTGACGGGTGCTCCATCCATGCGGCAGGAGATACTGGCACATAGGGGTGGAAGGCTAGCTGATGGGTGCTCCATCCATGCGGCAGGACATCACCACCCGTGCTGGTGGGGTTCTCAGCACTCACTGTAGCTGTCTTAAGGTCACCCACACTCCTGTGAGGTAGTGCACCAAAGCCGTGGGCTCGTGCCCTTCCGTTCCAGTTCATTCACACGTAGTCAAGGCCTGGCCTACACCAGCCTGCTGTGCACCTGCTCATTTCCTGCTCTTTTGGCCTCTTTGGTGCCTGGTTTGCACCTGCGATGTGGTAACCTATGTGGAGCTGGTAATATTTTAGATATGCTGGGATAGGTCAAGTCCATCAGTATATCAACGAGGCTGGTGTTCAGGAGAGGTGGGAAGTAAGGTCAGAGTAGACATGGGCTGTGACCTTGACTGGGCCCTGATTTGTAGGACGGACACTGGGCACTAAATCACCCGGGGATGGAGAGGGAAGTTGGCCATTGCTGTGGGCGTTGCCCTGGGGAATGTTGCTACTGCAAATGTTGGCTAGGAATGTGGCATAGCCTTCAATTTCCGAGCTTCCTCCCTCCATATCTTGAGAACGGGGCTGCACATGGGTGCCGTCAGGCCTGACTAAAAATGAATAAGTCAAAAAAATCGAAACAGGAAGTAGAAATAACCATCTTCTTGCCTCAGCCTTTGAAGTGTTGGGGTCACCTGCTGCTGCGTGGCCACAGGGGTGGCGTTTACAAAGCTCTGCCTCCTGCTTCCCTTTCCTGCTGTCTGGGTAAGAGAAGATGCCAGCTCTCCCTGCTTTGTTTGCTGTTCTAGGTTACCAGCTTGGCAAGCCGGTCCGAGCCCTGCATACCGATGGGATGAATGTCACTGCGTTGCACCTCTGGCAGCCAGGTGATGTGCTTTGCCATCGCGATTTGCCCTTGGCAAACAGGAGCTAGAAAATTTGCCGCCCTTTTGGCCTGTGGTGTGGGGGAGGGGCTGCCTTTTCTGTCTCTGTGGCTCCCCCCGCCAGGTTGTCTAGCATATTGTTGTGCCTAAGTGCTGGGTACTTGAAGAACGGTTCAGGCGTGATTGGGCTCTGTCGCCAGCATGCTGCTCCTCAGAAATAGGTCCCTCTGAACGGTGGGCTCCTAGTGCTGCCGTAGGAGTTGCCCACATGTGTCAGCAGCAGCAATGTCCCTGCTACCAAGGAGCCACTGAACCTGGTCCAGGAATTCTCACACAGAATAGTGTCTTTGTTTGGCTTTGAAAGGCTCAGGATTGAATAGCGGTTCTCACCCTTCCTAATGCTGTGGCCCTTTAATACAGCTCCTCATGCCATGGTGACCCCTAAGCACAAAATTATTTTCGTTGCTATTTTAGAGCTGTAATTTTGCTTCTGTTGTGAATCGTAAAGATTTATATGATAGGAGACCCCAAAGGACTTATGACCCACAGGTTGAAAATGACCACATTAGAGTAACAAAATGACTCAGTTTGCAGAAATGGAAACTTTTTTGTTTTGCTTTCCATTTAGTTTTGTATTGTTTAGCCAGCTGTGCTGACACATTCCTGTAGTCCCAGCACTTAAGGTGTGGAGGCAGGAGGACCAGGAGGTCAAGGTCATCCCCAGCTACATCATCAACCCAAGGCCAGCCTGGGCTATGTGAGACCCTGTCAAAAAAAAAAAAAACAGATGAAAATTAACACTTTTTGTTTGTTTAATTTTTCAGAAGGGTCATTTTATGTTACTCAGGCTGGCCTCGAACCACCATGCTCCTGCCTCCACCTCCTGAGTACTGTGGAGAGGGCTTTCAGGAAACACCTGGAAGTCAATCTGTCTTTCAGCAGAGCAGTGAGGGCTCATCTTTCTGTTGCAGCTGGAAGGGGCTTGTGCACATCAGCCGCTCTCCGACCCATTTTATTTGGAGAGAATGTACTTGCCGGCTGCCTTTTGGAGGTTGGGATTAATGAGAACTGTACGCAGCTCCGGTGAGTCTCATGTTGGTTGCGGGGTCGGGGTCTCATAACCAAGGATGGCCTTGAACTCTTGATCCTACTGTCTCCACCTCCCCAGGACTGGCTCAGCAAGTTTCCTCAATGAATTTTCCTGCATTTTAAGTGGTTTCCTTAAAATTAATTTATCATGTGAATGTTGAAGACAGAAGCGCACACGCGCACGTGTGTAGAGAGAACTTGCGCATCAACACAGGCAAACAGACCTGGGTTGAGAACCATTCATGCTTAACCAAGGCTTCTGGTGTGGGAGCCTTCTTTCTTTGAACACTGGATGAAGGGTCAGAGCCATGTGTAGTTTTAACTGCACCGCTAGCGTTTGGAAAATGTTTGTGCACGTGTGTGTATTTAACATTTGTTCATGAAATTATTGTGTGTGTGAAGTGGGTGCATGCATGTGTATGTGTTGTGTGTGTGCATAGGTTGGGGAGCACCTTTCTCCAGCACAGATTCTAGGTGTGGAACATGGGTCATCAGTGTTGGTGGCACTTGCTCTTACCCATGAGCCATCTTGCTGATTTTTTTTCATGGCGGTAAAATTCCTATGATGTAATTAACCTTCGTGAAGCACCTGATTGAGCCAGACACAGTTGCTTAGCCACTGTTGCTCTCTAGAGGCTGAGGCAGGGTTGTTGTTAGGGGTATCTTGAGCTGTCTCAACATAAAATCAAAGAGCATCTGTCGCAATGGTTCAGCAGGTAAAGGCATTTGCTGCTAAGGCTGACCTGAATTCAAGACCAGGACCAGTGGTGGAAGAAAACTGATTCTCTTAGGTTGTCTGACCCCCCCCCAAATATGCCACGTCACATGTGTGCACATGTACACAAATGTTTAAAAGACTAAAATCAAGCAAAAAAGTTGAATATCTATAGGGCTTTCATGATCATATGAAAGGGTCTATCTCGTTCTAAAATATTTTCATCACCAAAAATGGAAATCTGTCTGTATAAATAGTTACCATCCCCCCCCCAGGTCTTCTCCCTAAAGCCTCAGGTACCACACACCCTGCTTTCTGTCCCTGTGGCTTTGCCTGTTGGGTGTTCAAACGGAGACACACCCACCCTGCTGTTCTTCCACGTCGCAGCATATACTGGAACTCCCTCCGTTCCTATGGTGACCCATAGAATGACTGTCTTTGTGTGTCGGTACATTACCATACCTTGTTCATCCCCATGGGTTGTTGGACATCTGCGTTTTCCACTCTTTGGCTGCGTTCACGACTGTGAACAGGCCTGTACTAGTTTTTCTTTGAATTGCTTACTGTTTTTTTTGTTTTTTTTTTTTTTGTTTTTTTGGTTTCTCAAGACAGGGTTTCTTTATGTAGCTCTGGCTATCCTAGAACTACCTTTGTAGACCAGGCTGGCCTCGAACTCACAAAGATATGCCTGTTGCTGGTTCCCAAATGCTAGGTCAGAGGTGTGCACCACCACCTCCTGGTTAGCACTTCCTGTTCTTTTGGTCTGTGCCTGGGAATCGAAGTGCCGGGTCGTCTGGTAATGCCCTGTCTGTGTGCAGAACCTGGTTTTTCTACAGTGGTGGCGTCTTTCGCCGCTTGCACAGCAGAGTGGGACAGCCCCAGTGTTCCCACATCCTCCCAGCACTCGCTGTTTTCCTTGTTTCTGATTACATTTTTGCTGTTTTATGTTTATCTTTGCTTTGTTTGGGTCAGTTCAAGGATGGGCGAGCATACACATGCTTCACTTCACGTGTGGAGGTCAGAGGACAAGTCTGGCAGTGCTCTCTCTGGCCACGCTGTAGGGTCTAAGAATCCAACTCAGGTCTTTGGGCCTGCTACACGCTCCTCCACCCACTAAGCCACCTCACTGGCCCCTCCCCTCCCAGAACATTCTCCACTTTAAGATTTATTTGTTTGTATGGTTTGAAAGTTTGTATGATTTGTATGTCTGTGCACCATGTGCAGGCAGTGCCTGCAGTGACCAGAAGAGGCCGCCAGATGCCCGAGAACTGGAGAACTGGAGTTACAGGTGGTTGTGAGCCACCAAGTAGGTGCTGGGAATTGAACTTTTCTCTCTCTCTCTCTCTCTCTCTCTCTTTTTGAGATTGGGTTCTCTGTGTAGCCCTGACCATCCTAGAACTTGATATGTAGACCAGGCTGACCTCGAACTCAGGGATACACCTGCCTCTGCCTCCTGAGTGCTGCTGAGATTAAAACATGTGCCATCACTGTCCAGTTTGAGCAACAAATGATCTTAATTGCTGAGCCATCTCTCTAGTTTACACCCACACTTGTATATACCCTGTTTATACCCTGCATATACCCCGTTTTTATTTATTATTATTGTTATTGTTATTATTATTATTATTGGTTTTTCAATACAGACTTTCTCTGTAGCTTTGGAGCCTGTCCTAGAACTTGCTCTGTACACCAGACTGGCCTTGAACTCAGAGAGTTGCCTCCGCCTCCTGAGTGCTGGGATTAAAGGTGCATGTCACTACTGCCTGTCTGTGCTCTGTTTTTAACGCCAGTCCCTCCAGCAGATTTTCATCTGGGCTCCTAGCACAGACTAAGTTCCAGTCTTGGGAAAGGGCTTGAGGACAAGCCCCACTGGGCACCGGCTGAGAAATGTCTTCTTCTCATGCAGGGAGAATGTCCTCCAGAGGCTGGATTTGCTGATACAAGCAACTCACGTCGCGAGGAGAGGCAACTCGGATTACAGCGATCTGAGTGATGGCTGGCTGGAGATCATACGTGAGTCTTAGTGGCCACACAAAAGGGCTTATGGCTATTGAGCCTGTGGTTGCTAGCCATGGCCCAGGAGCCTGACGTATTTGGCTAGGGCTCTGCTGCAGGCAGGAAGCTTTTCACAGCTCTCTTGTAGCTTTGCTTCACCCAGGAAGCAGCTGCGAACTTCCTCTTGCTGAGAATCCGGGCTTGAAGATCTTTAGGGCACCTCAGTTTGTATTACTGTTTTGAATTCCCAAGAATATTGGCATCGAGAGCTATCTTGGTAGTGTGTAGAAGTCACTTTGTTACAGAGTTTGAAATGTGGTGCTGAGTGAAGGAAGCCCAGACACACACATCCCAGATGTGTAAAAATCCGATTCGCGAGTCCTGGGAAACAGCGAAATACTGCTGTGATCTGGAGAGTTCTGTCCAGGGTGATCTGAAAGGGAATCGGGCTGAGATGTGTGCAGGGCCCTGGGTCTGAGCCCCAGCACCCACTTCCTCCCAATCCAAAACAAGTCCGAAAAATCACTCACCTCTGAGCTGTTCACTTTGAAGGAAACTGGGCAGGGCCTGGGGTGTGGCTCTAAGGATGGTGCTGGTCTAGCTTGCTCCCGTCTCTGAGCTTGATGGTGTTATTACAGTGCCTCCAGCCAGGAAATTGCTTATTTTTCTAACCCACAGAAACCAAGGATACTAGGATGAGTTCTAAATATCCCCTTTTATATGACTTCTGAGAGGGTGGTGACTGTTTAGAATAATTGTGTGACTTTACTGTGGTCCCTCGTTGTCCCTCTCAGAATACTGTGTGGCTTTCGGGGACAAGCTTAGACTCCTAATCTCTCTCTCTCTCTCTCTGGTTTTTTAAGACAGGGTGTCTCAATAACAGTCCTGACTGCCCTGGAACTAGCTCTGTAGACCAGGCTGGCCTTGAACTTAGAAACCCACCTGTCTCTGCTTCCTGAATGCTGGGACTAAAGACTTGCACCATCATTGCCTGGCCTTTTTCTCTTTTTTAAGAAAATATTTTATTTATGTGACTATGTGTCTCTGTGGAAATTTATGTCATATAAGTTCTGGTGTCCTTGGAGGCAGGAGAGGGCATCAGATCCCCTGGAGTTGAAGTTATAGGTGATTGTGAGCTGGGAACTGACCCTGTGTCCTCCACAAGAGCAGCCAGTGCTCCTAAATGCTGAGACATCTCTGCAGCTCCGGACACTGAATCTTTATGTTTAGTTTTATTATGTGGGCTGGGACCTCATTCATCACACAGGGAAGCATTTAGACACCACCCAAGTGAGTAGTACCTGCTTCTGCCTGGTGGACACGAGGTCACATAGTTATGGGGTGACATTAGAGCTTGCTAGAGAGTAGAGCCTCAGGACTGGGAGCCAGACCACGTCACCTTCCATTCCTAGTGTGTCATGTGTGACACTGTAGGACAGCTGCTTTTAACAGGTGTCTTGACATTCCTGCAGGTGTTGACGCCCCTGAGGCAGATGCTGATCTGCCCCTGAGCAGCGCAAATGGCATCTGCCCAGAAGTTCCTGCCCAGCTCACTGTCCGCATCCTCATTGCCGAAGCTGGTTCTGTGGAAGGGGTGGCTCAGCATGAGATCCTTGGCGTGGAGATGAGGTGTGTGTGATCTCCTGAGAGTTGCCAAAGACTAGAAATGCTAGGCGGGAATCTGCACACTTGCAAATGGGGATTGTTAGGGATCTGTCTGTGTGAGTGGAAGGCGCCAATACTGTGTTGGAGACTGAACCTGCTCTCAGGGTTGTTTGGAAGGCTCTGAGAGCTGCTGCAGAGTCCAGAGGGCTAGGGCTAGCAAGGGGCCGTGCAGCGCTGCATGTACTTAACTCTCTGAGCCTGGGTGGCGCGCTGGCCATTGGTTGGAGGCTTTGCCGGTGCCATAGGTTCAGATCATGGAACTATGTGTGGTTTTAGACAGTTTGATATGTAGTTGCCTCATCTGAGAAGTGATGACAGCTGAGTGTTCCGTTTCTCCCTCAGGTGACAGGTTCTACCTAACAGAAGGTGATGCGGGCTGCTCAGCTGGGAAGAGTCCCCATGCTTCAAGCTCAGAGAGGCTCTCTTCCCTTTTACCTCTAGCTTCCCTTGCCCTGGGACCGCCTTCACTTGTAGGGACATCCTCCTCAGTCCCGCAGGGTCAGCACCAGCTCAGCCTTGCCTGGGCTTACTAAAGAGAGGCCACCTTGTCAAGAGACATCCGGCAGACTTACATTTGTCCAGCTGGGTCATGGGTTCCCGTTGGAGCCATTTGCCGTGGCCAGGACTATCAACAGCCCTGGCAGGCAGGCTCTGGGTTCAGACTGCTGTCTTTTCATCTCCTGAACAGAGAGTGGGAAGTGATGTGTCCCCCACCCCTAAGGGAAGTTGGGGAGCAGTTACCAGAACAGGAGAAGGAATGCCTAGTCCCCATCAGAGTTACTTCAAGAGTGTTGCGGTGGAGCCAGTGGGCTCTCTTCCTAGGCAAGGCTTCGCCAGTGAGCTTCGCCCCAGTCCCACAGTACTGTTTCGAGGATTCCTTGCCATAATGTGTAAAAAGCACCCTAGTTCTATGCTGCAGGCATGGAATGCCCTCGATAAATGACCAGCTGCCAATAGACTGTTGGAGACAAGCAACCTTTGCTAAGAGAACCTGGTGACGGGTACAGGGGCATGCAGATTCTCTCTTTGTGTCTAGACTTGAGAAATGGATGCAACACTTGGATTCCCTGGGGTCCTGAGTCAGACTTCTGATGAAAGGTGGCTACTCTGCCTTACAGTCTCCCCGTTCTAGGGTCTCCACCGTGACCTGGCAGTACCAGTGTGGGCTCACCTGTGAGGACAAGGCCGCTCTTCTCCCTCTCAGTGCTTCGGTTCAGTTCATTAAGATCCCTGCGCAGATGCCCCGCCCTCCAACGAGGTGAGCCAATGGCTGACAGGCTAGCAGGTTCCTTCCTGCCTCTCACTTGTTCTCCCAGAAACCTTCTCATGTGTTTTTGTAGATTCCAGATCAACTTCACAGAGTATGACTGTACCCGGAATGAGCTGTGTTGGCCTCAACTTCTGTACCCTCTGACCCAATATTACCAAGGTAGGGAAGGCAGGTTCCACTTGTTGTCAGAATGACATGCCAACTGAAACTGCTGAGTCGATGTGTGGATGGTGTAGGCAAGACGCACAGACTTAGAAGAAGAAACTGCACCTCTGCTGATGTTTTATCAACTATTAATTGTTATCAATAATAATCACTAAATAATTACCTTCAACGTCAAGATGGGATACAGCTCAGTTGTTGTGGGGATGGGGTAGAGCCCCTGTGAGTGTCATGGCAGACAGGGAAACAAACCTCAAAGAGATGAAAATGAAAACTCAGTTCAGCCCGGCTGGATCAAACTCTGGGGTCTGGTCCCAGGAGATTTATTGCCAGTAAACACAGTACGATTTGGAGAAAGTTTCCTGTGTAATTCAATTCCCAGTTCACAAGGAGGCGTAAGTATACTGCAACTCAACTCAAAGTACATGTCCTTTCTTCCAAGATAGGAAGAGCCTGCTACCTGTTCTAGCTGAAGGGCCTAGGGAAGGACCTGGTGTGTCTGGGTCATACAGATAGTATATTGCGCTATTATCCACCTCTGTCCTGGTTGGGGGAGCTCGGGGGAGCACTTGACTATATAGATAATATAAGGGTCATTTAGACTATCAGCCACCTCTGGTCCTGGTTGTGGGAGCTTGATAGATCATAATGTAGACCACCAGGCTGTTAATCACCCCCTTTCCTCTGAGAGGATGATCCTGCATGCTTAATGTTCCCGGTTTCCCTGGTGGTCTGTGGGTGCAAGGATCTCTGTGATCCCAATAAGTTGGCTTTTGCTGTCTTTCAGGGGAGCCCCATTCCCAGTGCGTTGCCAAAGGCCTAGTGCTGCTGTCCCTCCTTCTGCTGGCCACACTCGTCAGCCATCCTTGGATGAGACTGTGCAGAGGCTGGTACTCAACTCCCATCTTCCACTGAGTTTGCTCGAAGACTGAGCGCGCACTCAGTGGCTCCCTGTAGGTCTGTGTGCCTCTCTGAAACCGTTTGTTTGAGACAGGGTCTCACTATGTAGCTCCAGCTGGCCTCTAAGTGCTTTGGGATCTTCCTGCTTCTGCCTTCAGAGTGCTGGGACTGAAGGTGTGCACCACCGTGCCTAGCCTCCCTGTATCATTTTAATAAACAAAATGTCTATTTTTATAGAAATTCTTGGTGTTAAGTGAATTTAAATCAATTATCCAGATAGTCAGAGTTGCACAGAGTGATCCTTCTTGTTGCTGGCTGACTTCAGGGGAGTTGCTAATGTCCCTGAATGTTAGAGACCTAAGCCTAGCATGAATTCCTAATCATAGGAGTACTGGTTTTGACCATACTTAATGTAAGCATATAAGAATTAAGAAAGGATTGCTTGATTACTGTCTCATTCCAAAGAAAGGGTTAGAAAATGCTTAAAAGGCTTTTAAAATTATATGATGATGATGATGATGATGATGATGATGATGCAAGTCTGTGTGTTTGAGTGAGTGTAGGTGTGGGTACATGCGAGACAGCCATTGGGAATCAGTTTTCTCCTGCTATTTGAACTCAGGTTGGAAGGCGAGTGGCATTGTGTAGGCATTGCCTCTACCCACGAGCCATCTCAGCATTGCTATAGTCTTAAAGTACTATATTACTCATTGTGTAGAACCAGACCAGCCTACAACACAGAGATGCGCTTGCCTCTGCTGCTCGAGTGCTTAGATTAAGGGCATGCACCACAATGTCTCAGCCAGTTTTCTTAAACAGGCCAGGACCACCTACCCAAGGGCAGTACTGCCCATAATGAGCTGGGCCACATCAATCAGCAATCAAGATAATTCACCATAGACACTGACGGCTTACAGGGCAATCAGATCTGTGTCACCCTTCAGGTGACATTCCCTCTTCTCAAGTGACATCATGTCATGTTGACAGTAAAAACTGGTACAAGAATATTTGAGCGGAAACCTAAAGGAGTCAGCTTTGATGAGGTCCATTGGGCCAGTATTTTAAACTGAGGGATTCCAGAGTTCAAGTGTGTGGACCAGGAAAAAGGGAGGAGTGTGGCTGAGTGAAAGGATCCAGGACTACAGTGAGGGGTTCAGATTGTCTGGAATGCAATGAGAGAAGCCACATTGGATTGTATGTTATTGCAGAAGTCACGTGACCGCCGTGTGGAGGCTGGCCATGTGGCTAGTGGGATTGCAGAACCCACACATTGTACCACATAGGGTTCCATGGATCGTACATGTTCCAGGCTGGCAAATCCACTGTGACAAAGCCAACCGGTGGTGGCTGACTGCAAGCGAGCAGGTGTCCTGGGGGTCAACAGAGACTTCTCAGACTAGCTCACATGACGGCTGCGCCCTCTGTCTGCACTGAGAGTCAAAGGGTGTTTAATTGGAACGGTAAAGTGGCACACAGAGTGGTTAAGACTCTCCTCCCGTTGGATGGTGGTGGCGCACTCCGAAGGCAGAGGCAGGCGATCTCTGTGAGTTTGAGGCCAGCCTGGTCTGCTGTTGGTTTTACTCCAGCCCCATGTTGAAACGCCAAAATGTAGTTGGTTGTTTCACTCTTTAGTTTTTGGGGACCCGCCACCCAGCTCCCAAATAAATCACACATGGAGTTTTATTCTTAATTGCTTCTGGGCTTTTCCCTTTTCTTCTGTATATCTTACTTTCACTCTTACTCCGTGACTGGCTGGGTGGCTGGGTCCTAGTGTCCGCCACTCCCTCCATTCTTCTGTTCACACGCTGCCTGCCAGCCCTGCCTAACCTTTCTCCTGCCTCCCTATTGGCCATTCAGCTCTTTATTAGACCATCAGGTGTTTTAGACAGGCAAAGAATCACAGCTTCACAGAGTTAAACAAATGCAGCATAAACAAAAGCAACACATCTTTACCTCATTAAACAAATGTTCCACAGCATAAACACAAGTAACACACCTTAAAATAATATTCCTCGACACTGGGCTACAGAGCTATTTCCAGGACAGCCAAGGCTACACAAAGAAACCCTGTTTTGACCCCCCCCCCCCAAGACACTCCTCCTCATCCCCATTAAAGTATACTTATTTATTAGGGCTGGAGAGATGTCTCAGTGGTTAAGAGCCCATATTCCCCTTTCAGAAGACCTGAGTTTGGTTCCCATAACGAGGCTCACTGCCACTCTCTCTCCTGGGGATTGAGTTCTCTGGCCCTCTGCAAGCCATGTGCAAGTGCACACACACTTTCTTTAAAAGAAAAATCATTTGAAAATGTTTATTTGTATGTGTAGAAGCCTATTAGGTCAGAAGAAAACATTGGATTTCTTGAAACTGGAGTTACAGGCTGTTGTGAGACACCTGATCTGGGTCCTGGGAACCCCAAAACTTACTGCAAGAGCTGTAGGTGCTCTTAACTCCTGAGCTATCTCCAGATTGTAGGACAGCAACAACAAACTGCTGAAGTTATTAAGAGTTCTTGCCTAGCATATATGAAACCCTGGGTTCCATCTGGGTTTCATCCCCAGCCTACACAGACTCAATGTGACAGTGCTTGACTGTAATTCCAGCACTGGGGGTGAGAAGGTGGGAGGTTGGAGGCAGAAGGATCAGGAGTTCAAAGTCACCCTTAGCTGCTTAAAGAGTTTGCAGCCTGACTGGGATACATGGGACCCTATCTAAAAAACAAACAAACAAACAAATAAATTTAAAAGGTAGGTCTCTAGTCCTCTGGTGCATGGTCCCATACCCACACACATGCATTAATTGGATTTAGTGGATCATCATCAAAAAAAGACAAGCAATTGGAGGGAGAACATTTTTGGAATGTGGGAATTGGAAGGGAAAACGGGTTGAATATGATATTTTTTGCTGTATACATGTATGAAATTCTCAAAAATAACGAAAATAAAGAAGCCCTCGGGGGTGGTGGTGCACACCTTTAATTTCAGCACTTTTAGGTAGAGGAAGGGTGATCTATGTATGAGGTCAGCTAGGTGACAGCCCGGCTACATAGACTCTGACTCAAGAAAACAAGTCTTCAAAAGGACCTGGCCGTAGTGGGGCACGAAAACCATCCTGGTACTGGAGAAGCTGAGGCAGGAGGATTGCGAACTTACGGCCAGCTTGAATTCCACAGGGAGAGCCCATCTGAGGAGAAAAACTACACGCCAATGAAATAAACTCTAAAAGTCGCGAAGGTTAACCCGGTTAGGGTTCCCGCCTCCTGTGTACCGATTGGACGAGTCGTAGTGACGGACTGCCACAATCCTGATCGTTCATTGGTTATCTTGCGATGTGCGGTTCCCCGGGGCGGAACCGGAACCGGCTGCCGCGGTGGGCGGGGCGTGGCGGGTAGCTGTGGCAGCGGCTGAGCGGTGGCAGCGGTGGCAGCGG